AAGGCTAATTTGTTCAATATTCAGCCTTCTTCCATATGTATGAATCTCCTGCCTTCATTTCATATTTCCTATCTTTATTTCTCATTCATATCACACAGAATCTCTTTAGCTGGCGTACCTCACGAACATTCTATTTAGTGAACCAAATGGTTACTTTGTCGGCTCTAAAATGTATCGACCGTGAGTATAATGAGATAGACAAGCAAATAAACCTGAGAAAACTAATAAAAAATTAATAATAAAATACATCAAGATGTTAAGAGTTTACATGTATATAAAACTATTTCTTTCTTTCTACTTAAAGAAGATTTATTTGAAGGTTGTAGAATGTAAGCGAACTTTGTGTTAAATAGAAAAAAAAATAAGGAATAAAGAATTTTAGACAAACATTTTATAGTTCAATTGCTAATGATATAAATCGTACCGCATGTTATTGGCTATTCCTGTCTGAAAGCTCAGTTTTCTGTTCATTGTAAATGCCAATATATTTATTCAAAGAAATATTTATTATCGATCTTTCTTCTACTAATACTTTTTAATTTCTTCCAATGCTTTAATTATAGTAAGGATTTAGTCGTCATCAATTAACCAATCTTAGATATAACAATCTGCAAACGTTTACATACTGATCAAAGTAAATTCTTAAAGAAGTAATGGATTTTTTAATTAACCAAACAGATTTCGCTTACTTTCATGGCTATTTTTGATGGATACTCCTATTTCAGTACACGCTCCGAGTGTCTTAAAGAGTGTTTATTTTCATCTGAATATTCAAGAAATTTTAATCCGTTTGCAGAGGAAACCTTCGTTAGATCCGACATGCTTTTAACCGACTCGACCACGAAGGGTCAGAGACAAAAGTTCGGACTTTCCTTGACATGTCTTCGCAGGATTGAGAGTATAACCACTGAGTCTCATACCTGCTTTAATACAATGGGGATGTACTTCCTTCGCTACGGAACCTCGGAACCATAGTTTAATTATTTATAATGGTGTTTAAGCACGAGTGAAAAGAAATAGATGATAATCATGATCTATAATAACTAAGTCTTTAAAAAGTAGACAGAAATTTATTTTTACTTCCTAAATTATTACGACGAATAAAAAACAATAAAGAATTAGTCAGGGTATAATTTTCGGCCTTTCTTTTTAAGCTTTTTTGGGCGGACAAAAATGAAATGGTATTTTATATTTTCCTCGGATTTTTCTTATAAGTTTTGTGGGGGAAATGAGCTGTGCTTTCATTCTAAAATGAAATTTCTAATATTTCTCCTATTAATAGACGATTGTAGTTCAGTAGTAATTCTTCTGTCTACAGAAATGGCTTCCCCGTCATTTGGTCAATTATATGTGAATCTATTGAGATAGTTATCAAGCTTAGAGATTGAACATATTTGAAACGTTCTTCATAAAAAAGAACCAATTTACAAATAAAACAAATCCATGAAATAAAAAAAAAAATACATATAACAAAATTGATACAGAAACAAATTAAGATATATAATAAAAACGAATTTCTTTCTTAACAAATGTTCTGCTATGTTTTGTAACATTAATTAATCGCCTTATGTTTTTGTTAAAATATGATTTATTTTTTTAAATATATTCATTCCCAATGTTAAAGAATAGTTAATATTTGAAAAGAAGCCGGATCTCCATCTAATCGAATGATTATTTGTGTGTCTACAAAGTATTTTGTTAAATAACTTTATTAATTTATTTTATAGTTCTTAAACTTGACCAGTAATTCAGATATGGAGTGCACTTTGAACCCAAGGGATGAATTTCAAATTTTAAAGGAATAATTTCAAATTATGAAAAAATTGGCCAATGAAATGAAAGTTTTGTATTTCTTTAAAATAAAAATATCTTTTTCTTATATATGAATACAATTAAAACATTTTTTTAATAAATTCTTTCGATAATTACAAGTAGAAAATTATGGAGATGAAAATATTACTAGATGATAACTCAATATGGGGTGTGAAAGAATAGACTAAACCTGAGATCGGAAGAAATATTATCTAGGACTCAGAAAAACCCTGATCTGAGCTCACTCAGTGGAAAATATATCACAGTTAAAGCCTTCTGATTTTATACCAATGCTATCATTCCTGTTTTGAAATAAGCGAAGATTCTACCTTTAATTCTCTCACTGTCAGGGAAGTTCTTTCTTGGAAATCTATGTACTTACTGATTCCAGTTGGCAGCGAGATCATTTTTTAAAAAGTGTGCACTGACCCATGTTTATATTTTTTGCTATTTAAAGGAATGAAAATAATTAAAAATCTTTTGAGAATATTCTCTAGACAATTAGTAAATATCATCAGGGCAATTTCCAAAACAGAGTTACGGCTGCTGATGCTGTAAAATCTCATACCATATTCTTTGAGGGTCACCTTGTTCCTGCAGCTCTCACGGTCGGAGCATCCAGCAACGTCAGATTGATCTGTTGGGGGTCCTAGAGCACGAAGCCCTTCCGTTGACTGCGTATCTACCCCAAGGTTGTCATCAGTCTGCAGATAACGGGTCGAGATGACTGGTAGGGTGGCCATCAGCTCGTGACAGGATGCGACCGAGCTAGTTAACATTGCGCTGAAGGATGGCGCAAAAGATATTCGGCTGGCCGGTGCTACACATTGCATATTAGATCGGACCAGTGCACCCCTCGATGGTCCTAACGGCGAAGGACTCAAAGCCTTGGACACAGGGTGGAGGGGCCGAGGATCTTACTGAGAGGTCACGTTACGACAAGCACGAATAGTCTTAATCTACTTAATAACTCTATTAATAATGGCGCTAAAAACTACTAGATGATAATATAGAAAATCGTTCATAATGTGGGCAATATTATGAATTTAAAAGCAATATTTAATTTCGGAATAGTTCCACTAATATAAGTATAAGAGTTGTTACCCGAATGTACAGGACATTTGAAAAAAAATACACACTCTCTGCACTCTTAATCCACTGCAATTTGTCTGATAATGTCGATACAGGCCAAGAGAAATGATCTCGCTTATGCATGTTCAAAAAGCCTTAAGAATATGTTTTTCCCACATTATCTTTTCAATATATATATATATATATATATATATATATATATATATATATATATATATATATATATATATATAATTGTACAGCGAGCCACATGTTCCGAGGCTAATGGGTTTCATTTTAGTTCAACGGCCTGATGTCGTGAAACTATGCAATGTCGATATATGTCTATATTGCATATATTCTGGAGAGTTCTAGCTTCCGGCCAAAATTTGATTGAAACGAGTAGGAGAGATTGAACTAGGAACGAAGTTTATTCTTCTTCAAATCAAGGAACCTTTTTATTATGATCAGACAGAAGAGCTGTAGCTAAATCCTACATTCCTTGCTTCCATGTGACTCGCTGTACAATTTTACATACGTTTTCTTGCTAAAAGTTTCATCACAATTCGTAACTAACCTTCTGATTACGTGCTCCTCTGTATTTCGACCACGTGAACAACCATAAATTTTTTTTCTGGTCAAGATAGATTATTGTAAACAAAAGTAGACAAAATATAATGAACATATGGATTTAATATGCGAGGTAATGTAATTGTATAATCGACTTTCTTATCATGGGTACACAAGTTAATATCAAATCGATAGATGGAAAAACGGTAACCAGTAAAAGGAAGATGTTACATGAAAAGAAAAGTTTTAATTCTAGAACTTTTGAAAATAATTCCCACAATGCAAAAGAAACCAAGCATTTTTTTTTTTAAATACAAAGTTTTACTATTAGAATTTTATAGTTGGACATTTTTTGTTCATCATTTTTTTGCCATGGTTAATAAAATATACTTAATTGTATAAGTATATAAGAAAATACATAGATATACGCCCGTGTGTATGCATAATGGTTAAGTATTATATTCACTTTTATATGTTGATGTATATACTTCTTAGCAAAAAGATTGTTTTCTGTTGAATGTGTTTGGGTATACACGAACATGCTTAAAGGACGTTTTGATGATGATGGAAAAAAAACATCGTAACAGCAGAAAACGTTGTTTGTTAATCAACTATATTTGTTGGTATTATTTTCATTATTCTTGTGGGCAACGTTTCTACATGTAAGTGTACACTTTTATAATGTATGTGTGCTGCTACATTTTTTTAAAAATATATATTTAAATTTTTTTTAGAAATATATATTAAAGATTATTCAAGTATATAAATATCCATGCGTTTTAAAATGTATTTTTCCCTGTGAGCGTATTCAGTATAGAGTAATTATTTCATATAATATGCTAAATAAATCAATGTATATATATATATAAATATATGTATATATATATATGAGTATGCGTATGCATATGTATGTGTACGTGTGTGTCATCAGGCATAGTAATCTGTGCATCGAAGAGTAGGAATATCTGTACGAGCCTGTGTGTATGATTGTACGCGTTTGCAAATATGTATGGTTTTATGCACACCGATATATATATATATATATATATATATATATATATATATATATATAGGTGGGTAAATCAAATAACTACATATTAGCAACCGTATATATGCGCGTTAGCGTGCAGAGACAGATAACCAAATAAATATTTAATAAATTTACTTTAATGTGTAAACAGAACAGGACTCAGTGTTTAGCCTTCGAACGTATATATATATATATATATATATATACGTACATACATATATACATATACATATATATATACGTACTATATATATATATACATACATACGTAGATATATATATATATATATATATATATATATATATATATATATATATATATATATATATTGACAGTTGTTGAGAACTGATTTTCATGAGGTGTTCTTTATTTCAGTTGTTAATAAGTAATTGTGTGTGTCTGTGTTTCTTTGGTCCCCCCCCACTTGTGTGTTTCTCTTTCTATATGCCCTATGTCTATTCCTGTTTGTATTGCTTTGTTCGAGTGTGTCTATATGCATGAATTTGTGTGTATCCCATGGTGCATCTCTCTGCACTGAGATCTGTCTTACTTTGTATTTTGTGTGTCTATATTGGTGTATCTATATTGGTGTATCTATTTTGGTTTCTCTATCTATCTATCTATCTATCTATCTATCTATCTATCTATCTATCTATCTGTGTGTGGCTCTATAGCGATATGTCTGTCTCCATGTGCATCATTTTGCGTGTGTGGCTGTATGTCTATACACGAGTATATCTGTTGATGTGTCCGTGTGTTTTACCGTGTGTTTTACCATGTGTCTCTGTGTCTCGTATACATGTCTGATGGTCTATCTCTGTGCGTATAATTTTCCGTGTTTGTGGCTGTGTATCTGTTTGTGTGCGTCTCTAGGTGCCTATCTGCTTGTGTATCTGTGTGTCTACGTATGTGTGCGTATGTGTTTGTTTGTGCGCGTATTTATCTGTGTGTATAATTTTGTATATATCTACCCCAGGGAATGTCCCTGTGAATGCCTACCTCATTTTCTCGCTCTCTTCGCGCCCGTTGTCACACATATATATATATGTGTGTGTGTATGCCTGTGTGTGTGTGCGCGCGTGTGTGTGTGTGTCTGTGTGTCTGCATTGAGAAAAAGAAAAGGCTTTTCTACTCAAAAGCACAGCCACTATGAAAATTTCGTTTCCTTTTCTTCTTTCATATTTGCTATTTGACTGCCCGCAGTCATGAAAGACATAAAAACATTAATTTGATAGAAAAATAAACAACCTTTTTTTAGCAAAGTTATAGAATATCAATTTTCGAAATTACCATTTTTTTGTTTGTTTTTTTTTTTTGTTCTGTTTTGGTTATTTTTTGTTGTCATTTTTTTTTCATTAAATCCCGGACATACTTTCAAAACATTTCTTGTTTTTCTTCTTCTTCTTGTTAGTCCGTTCGTTCGTTCGTTCTTCTTCTTCTTTTATTATTATCATTATCATAATTATTTTTAATATAAGTTAAGTATTTTTATTACAAGAGTTTTAAAAAGTCAAAGAATTTCTTCTTCGTTTTTTTTTTTTTTTTTTTGTCTTTTCTTTTTGTTTTTGGAACTTCATATTTCTTGACACCTGAAAGAGAAAATAAATAAAAAAATAAGACTCAATGTTATTTGTGCCATATATGCAATTTATACAAACACACACACACACACACACACACACACATATATATATATATATATATATATATATATAGATAGATAGATAGATAGATAGATAGATAGATAGATAGATATTAGTGGTAAATATACATACATATGCAAAATATAAATACCCATACATTGTATATTTTTAGAATAAAAATTCCAAGAGGAAGAATCCAGGTAGAACTCATTGTCTAGGACAGAGTAAGGATATAATAAAAAGGCTTAAACAGTAATATTCCATGGTCATAATTTATTCCATTGGAATCGTAAATACGATCCAATTCATCAGACGTACAAATTCAAAAAGAAAACAGGTATACATATATATATATATATATATATATATATATATATATATATATATATATATATATTGGTTAGATCCAGTGACAGACCCAAAGAAGGTGAGTTCAATTCCTGGTTAAGGCAGTGGAGAACTTTCAGAAGGAAAATTAGCAGGAGATAACTGATAACTGACATCCATCAAACATGGCACGTGGAACTAGAACAGTCTACCCCAGTGATCGAAATAAAGGGTTCAGTTCGAAATTCCAACCTCCTGAAGAAGGCTGGAGCGTACCACGGCCGAAACGTTGTGACAAATATGGCGACAAAGATGAGGACAATAGTCCGACGAATGTAAATACTATAGATATAGATGTATAACGATATATATATATATATATATATATATATATAAAGAGAGATATAGATATGTATCCAGGTAAAAAGAGAATGAATAGAGTACAAACGTTATATATAATTTCAAAGGAGGCTCAATATAAAGTAGTTATTTTAAGATATTACATAGAAAAACATGTCAAAATCATTACGAAAGTCGCGTTTCGATGCGTATCAACGCATCGCATCAAATGATTGTAATATATATATATATATATATATATATATATATATATATATATATATATATATATATATATATATATGCATAATGCGGCTTCGATTGAGGAATCGGAGACCCGAGTTCCAGTCGAATCCATTACATTCACTTACGTGCTTTTGTCGGGCAGTCGGTTTCCTAGGAAACTGAACTGCTTGACCCTCATACGTCGTATTGTACGGGAGAGTCGAGTATATATATATATATGTATATATATATATATTACAATGAATCATTTATACAAAAAGTAGATTAGTAAAGTTAATGGCATAAAATTGCGAAATCTCTTCGCTAGGAAAATTTGAAAGGTGTATTAACCTACAAATCACTCGATGAATTTTATGATTCTTGTTTTTTAAAATTTTAAACTGTATAAGGTCTTTCTTTAATACGCAAGTCCTTTCAACTGTACATTCAGTCATCTTCACGCATGGAAATTATTTTGTTCTTGGTAAAATTCAGGTAGCATCCGAGACGAAAAGACTAAGACTGGTGAATTTGTAATTGCAACACAGAGAGCTTTTCGTGTTATTTCTTATTACGTTGTAATAATGCTATTCTGGATAATGACTGGGTTTGGTCGTATCGATTTAGACTCAGTAGAAACAAGACTAGTAATAATTACGTAGTACTAAAAAAAAATTGAAGACTAAATAACTGTAGATCTGAACAGGGGGAGGAGAATCGCTACCGTCGGAGATAAAATAATGAATTCAGTTTAAAATTCAGACAAAGTGTTCAAATTTCACTTCATTTTTTTAAGAAATAAAATAAAGATTAATTCAAATACTTACATTTATTTGTTTACTCTCTAATTTTAGGTCGTTCTATCCGAAACTGAAATAAGTTTGAAAAAAAGACAGTTTAGTATCAATTATAGAAGTTTCAAACAGAGTCGTTCTTTCTTTCAATATCTAACTTTCTCTCTCTCTCTCTCTCTCTTACACACACACACATACAATTTCTCTCTCTTTCGCACATTCTCCTTTTACTTTCCTTTTATCTTGCTATGTCTCTCTATTTGACCTTCTTTTTTGATTCTCTTTCTTTCATGCTTTCTTTCTTTCTTTCTACCGCATTTTCTTTCACACGATTTATCAGTCTATTCAGTGTCTAACCTTCACTCTCACGCACTTCATCTTTCTCTCTATTTCTCTTTGCCACTTTCTCTTTCCCTCTCTCTTTTTCATTTTTCCTTTCTGTCTCTTGCTTTCTCTTTTTCACTTTTCTTTTTTGCTCGATGTTTTCTCTCTCTTTTTTTCCTTCGCCCCCTCTCTTTGTTTCCTTCGAGTTTTCTTTATTTGGCTCCTTCTTTATATCTTCCTTTCTTTCAACCTCTCGGTTTCTCAATGTCTCACCTTCTCATTTCCTATCTCGCTTTCTCTTTCACCCCTTTCTCTCTCGTTTTCCCTTTCACCCCTTTCTCTCTCGCTTTCCCTTTCACCCCTTTCTCTCTCGCTTTCCCTTTCTCCTCTTCTTTCATTAAATCTTTAGTTTTGTTCCTCTTCTTCTTGGTACACTTCTCATCACACTTTCTTTAGCCCTGGTTTTCTCCTATGCCATTTATTTATTTATTTCCTTCTTTCTTTCTTTATGTATTTCCTACTTTCTTTCTTTCTTTCTTCGCCCTCTCTCAAACTTCTTTTTTCTATTTGTCCCTCATCTTTTCATAGCGTTTTCCTATCTTCCACATACATACGTTTATATATATATATATATAAACGTGTGTATGTGGAAGATATATATATATATATATATATATATATATATATATATATATATATATATATATATATATATATATATATATATATATATAGTCATCCACAGACAGACTGTTTCGCAGCTTATCAGTGCGGCTAGACATCCGGTTGCCTCTAGCTAGGATCGAAACCCGACTGAATTGGTGTCAGTCGGAGATTCTAACCATTAAGCCGTCGATATATATATATATAACTGAATGAATTAAGTCCGACAATTATTTAATATATTTTTTTGTTTATACGTTATTGTTTATAGATATAATATTTTATTTAAGTAAATGCCTTATATTTTTTTTTTTTTTTTTTTATTAATTAAACAGTATTAATAACATTTAACGGTCTGAATGTTCGCGAATATTCGTAGAAAAATAGGAATCGAAACTGCAACCCTAATCATCGAAGGTGTGTGTTTATAAACAGTAATTCGGATTTTGTTAACCAGACGCTTCTCTTTGGTTGAATGGTTAAAACCACATGAGATCAAATGACAGTTTCCATTAGGATAACTGATTCTGTGAGAATTTAAAGACTCTGACACGTATTACAAAAATATTCTAGTACTCTAAATAAAACAAATATTTTGAGACAGATTTAAAACAATTCATCAGTAGATCCATTGTCTTGCATATGTGTATAATTCTTAAACCGTGACCTTGAATTTGATTATCTGTCTCAGTATTTTTCCTAATTCTCTTCCACGTCCGGCAACCTCAGGAGTTTTACGCACGCAATGATTTTTTTAGTATTTCTTTTATTTTCCAATAAAGATATGATAGTTTGAGTCTTTCTGTTGTGGATTTTTTTTAATTTGGAACCGTTTTCAAACGGCTTCAGACTGAGATTTTTTTATGCTAAGACGAAAAGTAACTACAGCTAATACGAAAGAAATACTCGGGGGAAAATAGCAATGGTTGACAGATTTTGGTAAAATGAACACAAATCAAGATACTTATATGATAGATACAAATATTTAAGTAAATGCTCTGTTTTATAATAAACAGTATTAACAACATTTACCAGTCTGAATGTCCGAGAAATTTTCATAGAAAATATGCGTCCTCTGACGCTATCAGGCTATATCACGGTTCCGTATAGGATACAGGTTCGATTCCTGTCGGAGGACGCATATTTTCTATGACAATTTCTCGGACATTCAGGCCGGTAAATGTTGTTAATACTGTTTATTATAAAACAGAGCATTTACTTAAATATTTGTATCTATAAAAAGAATGTATAAACATAAAAAATGTCTTAAATAATTGTCGGACTTTATCCATTTCATAAAATATGACTAGTGTTGCCAAATTTACCAAGTCATAATAAAAGACAAGAAAAATAGATATAATAAGTAGTGATGTACAATATAATTGAGAATGACATTTTTTTTTTTTACTTTCTAAATTCAAAATGTACCGAAACAACTAAATAAATGACCGTTCTTTCCAATAAAGGTCGGTTGGTAACTCTAAGAACGACATGCACTGATTATGAATGAATAATTTTGACTTACTTCTGCTGCATTATCAAAATGGTTGAAGATATTTCCCCAGGAAGACGAACTATCTCCTAAATCTTCCCAACCGAGATCTGAAAAAAAAAAAGAAATATTTTTTAAATAATTTCATATATTGTTATAGCGATTTTCCAAGCGTAGCTTAGATGTGGCACAAGGCCGAAAGTATGGGGCACCCAGTGAGGATCGAACTCACAACTCATACGTAATTGTACTAGCGAGACAAGCTTGCTAACCATTACACCGCCTATTGTTATAAGACGCGTTGCCGAGAGAGAATCCGTAGCACCACAAACTATGTTAATAAGTATTTTGGGATTGTTTCTTTGATTGTACATTTAAGAACATCGCCGTATTCTTTAAACTTAATAACTCAAAAACGAAAGATTTCTGGATACATATTTATATGGTTTGGTTTAGTTTGGTTTATTTTGTTTTACGGCATATCAACCTCAATGGGTTATTTAATGCCGACAAAATTTTTTATTGCTGGTAATATTTTGTTTTGTCAAAAATCTGTTTGTATTGCTGGTAATAATTTTTTGCAAAAAAAGTATTGCTGGTAATAGATAGCTATTTGCCCATAGCTGGGACCCTAACAGGTGCTACCACCCCGGGTCAGGGTGGACCTAGGAACACCAGCAATTAAGAGGTGGTTCCACGCTCCTCAAAACCTCCTGATCAGAGGCCTTGCTGCTGGACGTAGCTTACCGTCTTACCCAGGACGCGGATGAAGTTTAACGTCTTACCCAGGACAATATTTATATGGACTTTTGTTCTTGCTTTGGCTTGAGATATTTTTGACACACCCTGTATATCAAAAGTTAGGTAATCTTAAATGTCGCCTGAAAATCCATTAGGTTACCGGCACAGGGCCAGCAATTGTTATCCGAAGTAATAATTCGGCAAGTGATTTAAACTGTCAACGTATATATAAATTCCTCTCAGAAGTTAAAAGTTAACTTTGTAGCCATGCCAGAACAAGAATTCAGTGTATTCCTGGCAACATTTCTAAGCACAAAATTATAAATATGCGACCAATCTTTTCGTTTGATAACGAATTGACTGATATGAGGAATAAAGTATCGTTGCCGACACTTGAATTTGAACATATATCGCCAGTGAGCAAACACAGGCGATCCCATTATTAAATTAAGAAGACGACGTGACCATGGGGGAACCGTATAAGTAGGAAGTGGCGTGACGTCCAAGAATCGCTATTTCTATTCTATCCGCTATTACAATTCGGATCGCTATTTCTAGTCTATCCTCTATTACTATGAGCATCGCTATTTCTAGTCTATCCTCTATTACTATGAGCATCGCTATTTCTAGTCTATCCTCTATTACTATATGTATCTGCATTTCTAGTTTACATTATTTCTCTTCTTTACTTACTATACTATTCCTCCATTCGGATCACTATACGGATTACTGCTCGAGCGAGTATTATAGAGCAATTACTAGTAGTGCGTGTGATATTCGAAGGCGTCTGACACCAGTATTGTTCAACGGTGTTTCTATAGTTGTATCTGCGATTACAAAGTCTCTATTACAACGAGCATTACGAAAATGACAACGGGTATTCGTTGACATCACAAAATTGGCAACGAGTGTTCGTTGGCATCACAGAAATTGCTGTAATTGTAAACGAGTTTTTTTTATAATCGAGTTGCTTATAATCGAGTGAATAATGACCGTTTTGTTCATAAACAACATGCTTATAATCGTGTTGCTTATAAATGAATTGCTTATATACAATATGCTTATAATCGTGTCGCTTATAAACGAGTTGATTAAAGACAACATGCTTATAATCATGTCGCTTATAAACGAGTTGATTAAAGACAACATGCTTATAATCGTGTCGCTTTTAAACGAGTTGATTAAAGACAACATGCTTATAATCGTGTCGCTTATAAACGAGTTGATTAAAGACAACATGCTTATAATCGTGTCGCTTTTAAACGAGTTGATTAAAGACAACATGCTTATAATCGTGTCGCTTTTAAACGAGTTGATTAAATACAACATGCTTATAATCGTGTCGCTTATAAACGAGTTGATTAAAGACAACATGCTTATAATCGTGTCGCTTATAAACGAGTTGATTAAAGACAACATGCTTATAATCGTGTCGCTTTTTAAACGAGTTGATTAAAGACAACATGCTTATAATCGTGTCGCTTATAAACGAGTTGATTAAAGACAACATGCTTATAATCGTGTCGCTTTTAAACGAGTTGATTAAAGACAACATGCTTATAATCGTGTCGCTTATAAACGAGTTGATTAAAGACAACATGCTTATAATCGTGTCGCTTATAAACGAGTTGATTAAATACAACATGCTTATAATCGTGTCGCTTTTAAACGAGTTGATTAAATACAACATGCTTATAATCGTGTCGCTTATAAACGAGTTGATTAAAGACAACATGCTTATAATCGTGTCGCTTTTAAACGAGTTGATTAAATACAACATGCTTATAATCGTGTCGCTTATAAACGAGTTGATTAAAGACAACATGCTTATAATCGTGTCGCTTATAAACGAATTGCTTAAAAACGTGTTGCTTATTAACGAGTTGCTTATAAACATTTTTTTTAATTGAGTTGCTTTGAGACAAAGAAAATCGTCAATCTATCAAAACGGTTATCGGTAATAAACATTTTTTTTCTTTACAAGCTACTATTTTGCCTTTAAGGTAAACGATAATGTTAAAATTTGGCGCATGTCGCGTAACATTATGTCATGTCGTCTTCCATTTACGATTTGCTAATGTGTCTTCTCGTGCACAAATCAACAAAGACAGAGAAAGACGAAGAAGACGCAATAAGAGAAGAAGATTCAAGCTGAAAAGAGAAAGAGAGAGAGAGCTGCATTTTAACTTACTATCTGCTCCAATTTCTTGTCTGTTGTTTTCGCTGTAGGGACTGAAGTTACCCCAGTCTTCGAGGTATTTTGCAGCATTCATTGAGTCAGCTGCGAAAGGTTCGTTGTAGGCTTTACCCCCTCTTAACGCGGAAGAGAAAGACCCGAAAGCATCTCGAAGATGATACCTGTCGAAGAGAAAATTAAAAACGAAATATATAAACAATCGAGCGACTACAAGTCCAGTTCATCGGATAATAGACATATTTTAATGAAAACTATAGACATTTTCTCCATTAAGTTTGACTATCTTCTTTTACTAAATTGTCAATGATCTTTCTCAAGATTTCCTGCTGTACATGTATGAAATTTCCAAAATGTATGCAATTGCCGTGTCCGAGCAACGACTGATATGTCATCTTCAGGTTTATGTCGATAGTAAATTTATTACCTTTATAAACAACTAGCAGCATGGCCCGGCGTTGCCCGTGCTTGATTCAAAAAGCAATCATACAGCAATCGCTATCACTTGACTTAAAATATTTTTGTCCTTCCTTGCCTTTAAAGGAGTTCCCTTTGCCGTGCTGATGTTGCTACATGCCTTACTTCTTGCCTATCTCACACTGCGAATTTTTTCTAAGCTCTATACTAAACATAAACATACTATACATTATTCGAACTATTGTCCTCATCTTTGTCGCCATATTTATTACAACGTTATGGCTGTTCTACGCTCCGGCCTTCTTCACGTGGTTGGAATGTCGAACTGAACACTTATTTTCGCTCACAGGAGTAGACTGTTCTAGTTCCACGTGCCATGTTTGATGGATGTCAGTTATCTCCTGTGAATTCGCCTCTGAAAGTTCCACACTGCCTTAACCGGGTATTGAACTCACACTATTTGGGCCCTGTCACTGGATCTAACCAACGCCTTTATCCACTGTGCTATGTGTCGTAATGTTGTAATAAATATGGCGACAAAGATGAGGACAATAGTTCGAATAATGTAAATAGTGTTCATAATACCTCATCTCGGAAATATAGACAGATAATAATAAAACGGTAGTAACAGTGAGAAAAGGTAGCAAAAGAAAGTGAGAAGAAAGGCCTAACTTCAAAAGAGATATATTGCTGAATTGATATGTGTTGCAGTATAGTTTTTATCGCACCAGCTGCGGTACATTTTTTATCGGGCTTTATATTAGCTGTATTATTTATTTATTATGGTAGCTGTAGTATTTTAAATGGTCAAAGTATTTGGATTTAAGATTTGATACCATATTCTTAGTATACGTACCTATCCTGTTCAAATGTTGATAAATATCTCGACCTATGCCGGTAGCGTCCACAACATGCACAACAAGTACAGCATCCAAAGCAGTAGCACCACAATGAGATAAGTAAGCCGGCAATGATTGCTCCAGCAAGGGAACCGAAGATGATGATGTAAAGACGTTCTGTAATAAATAAATAACAAGTTTAAGTCATTAATATATTGTCCTAACCACGTTCTACTTCTCTCAGATTTCGTAATAGTACAGTTATATCAAAGAAGTCAGTATAGTTTCAAGCTTGGCAATAGGGTGTATGGGATGTATCGTCAGTGCTTGTAACATTGCAGCGAAGTGGCCGACCCTGCTTTACTCAGGTGAAATGGGATGCATAACTGTACCAGTCCACGGGCTATATCTTTGAATCGCATGGGCACTGCGACCGTTACACCCTGATTAACGGCATCGACCTGCCGACTAAACAGTGTGAAGAGGGTTGGAATAGTTTTTGACCAGACCGAATCGGTGAAGAGGTAAACCTCTCCTCAAACCACCTGTACCAAGTGGCAAGCTACCAAACTGGGCGAAGAAGCTGCGTCTTAGACGTCTTCGACTATACCAGTGGGTGAAGGAACTACTGAGAGTAGGAACAGGGTAACCTCAACATCCCCGGTGCAAAACGAACAAGCAACTCATTGCATTATTTTGCCTTGAATCTCTGCATGGAGCACAATTACGGCGTGTGGTGATCACAGTGGCGGCGCAAAAATGCACTGACAGCAAAAATGATAAAAACAAAGGACAGATCGAGTATCCTATATCCGAAATTCCAAAACCCGAAAACCTCCAATATCCGAAAACCTCCAAAATCCGAAAGTTTGTCATATGCTGACATGACTTGCCACAAATGGAAAATTACAGAAAGCACCTGGTAGGTTTTTAGGTCATATGCAGCTGTTGTAAGTGACCTCATCCGTTGCCGCCAGTTTCATTTATCGCGATCGTCAAAGCAATATGTTCGTTCGTGGATTATTTACCAGGTGTTTCGTGCTCAGTAAAGATATAATTTAAAATGTCAATAAGTCCTGCATTCATATACTTTTTTTTTGCATGTAGTTATCAGGGTCTTTTTTGTAGACGGACAGAAAATACAAAACGTTATTTTTACATGAAATCTTATTTTCACCACTTAAAATACGAGTGAGCTTTACATGACGGGCGCCATTGCTTGTATCTGCATGTACACAAAATTTATTAAATTTTATATAAAACTGCGTTCAAGGTATGTGTTATTTGTATAAAAAAATACCTTGAAGGTATATGTATAAACTGTTATAGGAAATGTAAAGGGATATCGTATTTATGCTGCCCCATTTTATAGATGCTATATACAAATTAAATAACTTCTATTCCAAAATACGAGAAAAAAAGTTCCCTGCTAAACGCAATTGATGGCCCGACAATTGCGTTTAGCAGGAAATAGATGCCTCTGGGGGTTGAATTCAATATATAGTTTTATATTTACATATGCTCCCTCCCTGATATTGAGCACTTTAACCCATAAATATAGCATACCTTAAAACTATATTTTATCATATTACACCAGATACATATATATATATATATATATATATATATATATATATATATATATATATATAAATGTTTTAAATTTCAATTAATAATTATAAAATTAATCTTACCTTGGTATGTCAAACCGGAATCTGAAAAACGGAATAAAATCGACATTAGTTGATTGTTTCAAGTTGATAATATTCAAACCTTTTTTCAGATAATCATAATCAATTACTTTATTTTTATGAATTTCTATCTCTAACTTCCCTTGAGTTCTAATTAATACGTAACAATAAAAATATTCAGCCAACCATTCAAACTCTCTTGTAACACATACATTTTACTTTTATCCAAATTTCGTTAAAAACGACTGACGAGATTTTGCAGTTAAGTTTTTATTCAATTTTTCTTGCATTCGTTTAAGTGTTATCTTTTCTGGGTATAAACTGTAGAAGAACTGTCCCAATGTTCTACATATCCGTGCGGTTTCGGCTATTCTATTATATTTTTTTTATTTTTTTAACCGAATACGTTGATGTTATATAGTTGTATCTATAATTATGAGAAGGTTGTTTTTTTTTATTTTACAAACATGAAAGCGCTCGGATATATAGAAAAATTGTAAGGTTTTAGACAGTTTATGTCCAGAAAAAAACGCTTGTACGAATGCAAGAAAATTTGAATCTTATTCCGTTTCTTTTCTGTACATACAGTGTCTAAAAACTATCCGAATTTTGACTATTCTTTTAGCCAATATCAAGGATGAATTTTATTTTTATTTTTAACTGAATGCTTCGCCTGTTTTATTTACGTATATATCTAGAGTTATGTTTATTTCCAAAAGCGGTCAGCACATTGTGGCCGTGTTCATAGTTGATATTATTGAGTGTTGGTTTTTTTTTTAATATTAATAATGTTTCCATTACCTTTAGCCTTTTTACATGTGGATGTGGCTATTATATTTGCATTATCAACATCTATGTTACGGATAGACTTTGGTTGGTATCCCTGTGTATTTAAATGTGACCTAATTGAGCTATGGACAGAGAGATGGAAACACGAGTCTTCTTGTTAAACATGTAGTATATCCAATATAATTATTTACGAATTTGGATGGGTCAGGAATATATATATATATATATATATATATATATATATATATATATATAAATAAAAGTTACTCCAAAATTCGCTTGAAGATGAAATGGAACTAATGCTTTTAATTTAATTGCAAAAATAAAATTAGGAGTTTTAGCTTCTATTTTGAAACATGGTTGGAACTGTGTAGCGAAAATAACCATATTTTAAATCAATTAATTTATAATATATATATATATATATATATATATATATATATATATATGATAGGATAAAGAGCAAATAGTTAACAGATCTTGATCTAATATGTCTCCCTTTATTAAAGTTTCAGATAGAAATTATAAAAAGCAAAGAGACGCAGATTAATGGTATGTTGTGTTTGGCTATTTCTTATTGGTTAGATACGTGTCACGTGTAATGGAATAACAGATAATATTCAAATAAGTATAAGAAAATATTCTGGATGCTAAAATGTGTAAAGTTTAGTGAGACGCTGCAAGATGTTTTGAAAAAAATTTCATTAAAGTATATCTCGTACGTATTTTATGTGTTCGGAAGAGATAAGTTAGATTCATGAATAATGAGTCTGTAGAAAAATTGGAATGTAATGTAGTTTTTTAAACGTGTGTTAATAATTGGTAACGTTGTATAAATATAATTTAATAATATCTTCTCTTTAAAGAGTTATATTTTTTTATAAGGCTGGCATTGTTGAAATTAAAGTTATGTCCTACGTCGTTGCGATGTAATATATATATATATATATATATATATATATAAATTTTACATCGCGACACTTTTGATGAAAATGAAGATTTAAGAACGAGAAGGGAAACGATATTTCAAAATTTTATGGGTGTGTCCTGTTTGACCAATGAAAAAGACAAGTCAAGGCTAAAGCAGACAAGTGGAAAAATCTAAGTTAGATGTTTAGGGGTGTTATTCATACTTGTCTAGATGAGCTGTCATTTTTAGACGTGTTACCATTACTTCCGGTTAAGAATATAATTTTAGAATAATATATAAATTAAAAAATATATATCAGTAATATATATATATATATATATATATATATATATATATATATATATATATTCAAAATATCATGCTCTACGTTGTATCGAGCACTTTTAAAAAAATAAAGTCTAACGAACTGTGGAGACTCAATCTTTCTCTCTATCTGTATCTCTCTCCCTCTCCCCCTCTCTCTCTCTCTCTCTCTCTCTCTATATATATATATATATATATATATATATATATATATATATATATATGGAAGCATTTTACAATTATTGAAAGCTTATCCGTAAAACCAATTCCGGCTACAACAATGTTAATACATTATCTCACGCTCGGTGAACAATAGACCTGGCTTCTTTAATATTTCCCCTTTTCTAGCAAGATTAATGATCGACAAACGTACATGTAAGTTTTAGATCAAAATAAAATTCTTTTCGTTTTTCATTCAAAATACTCAAATTTTAGGAATACGTTTTCACAACATCGCCCACATGACGACGACGTGATCATATTTAAACGGAACGCTGATCTTATAAAAGATTTCAGTTATCTGTTTGGATTCGTATTGCTTTTATGTCCATCGTTTTTTTCATGTTGAATTGTATATGGTCTATGTTAATTATGTTTTATGAATATGTCCTGAAGATGGTCTATTAGACCGAAACGTCCGACGTTGACATTATATTAACATTAAAACAGCATAATTGCATATAAGGATTTTTGTTTGTTTTTTCCGTATATTTTTCTTCATATATATATATATATATATATATATATATATATATATTACAGAAGTAAAGTCTGATGATCCGCAGTCCTTTAAAAGGGCTGTGGTGAAATAATTTATTACATGGAACCTTAAAGTGGTCTGTTTTTATTTAAATTATTTGCTCTGGATTTACATTGAGCTCTCTGGATTTTATCCTCCTTGGGTCTACCCATACGGATTACCTAGTTTTCATAAACTATATATATATATATATATATATATATATATATATATATATATATATATATATATATATATATATTGTATTAACTGCAGGTCTCCGAGGTTATTGTAGCCGGAAGTGGTCCTACGGACAAGCTTTCAATAATTGCAAAATACTTCCATTTGGTATTCAACTAGATCAACCTCTGATGACATCCAGCTCCCGCCCTTCACATAGTAGAACAGGTTCTACTATTGGAAGGCGAAAGATGCTATCCAGTGCCTTAACATGTTTCGTATTTAAATAACCGAAAAAGAGGTGATAAGCCTTAAGAAAAAACATCAAATCAATCTATAATAAAAAAAAAAAATCCTCCACTTATAAATTCTCATATGGTATTTACAACCTTCTGGGTTGCTTAACTTACTCTGTTTACATGTTACCCGGTCGTCTAGTAATTTGTAAGTCTTTCTGCAGGTACAGGAGTACGATCCCACTTGATTGACACAGTTGTGATCACAAATTTTTTGGGGCTGGCTGCATTCGTCAATATCTGGAAAAAAAAAAAAGAAAATAAACAAAATTAGATAATTAAATCAAAAATAAATTAATTTTACGTTTTTCTTTGAACTCTAAAAATTTATAAATTTCAATTGAGCAGCAACAGAATTCACGATTTCTGCGTTAGTATACAGGAATCTCTCGATGAGTGCGGGTAATTTGTATATCGGTAATTATAAAAAAAAAATCAATTAATATGCTTAAATTAAAGAATGTTTTACCGCACTAATCGAATATCATGTATGCACTAATCGAAGATTGGAATATATAAAAAATTAGCTCACTAATCGAAAATGCTTTTAATTGAGGGTGCATATATATATATATATATATATATATATATATATATATATATATATATATATATGTAAATGTGTGTATATATATATATATATATATATATATATATATTAGACCTGTTTTTTTCTTCACAGATTAGAAAAGGCCATTACAAAAAAGTATCAGATCTAATATATATATATATGGCATGACGATTGCGACTAACAAGAAACAGCCTGTCGTCTCTAAGTGTGGACTTCAAAGTTCACTTTTATATTTAAAGACGCTCTATCTCTGATACTGAGCACTTTAGGCCATAACTATTGCACACCTTGAGAGTATATTTTTCATATACATATATATATATATATATATATATATATATATATATATATATATATATATATATATATATATTATAATAAAGAGAAAGAACAATAAGATTTATAATCCGGAGTTCTTATTAATATGCTCATTTTTACAAAAATGTGCTCAATGCAAATATGCAGAGCATAAATATTATAAATGTACTTATTTAAAAATATGGTTCCATCGCTACACACTACATAATTTCAAGCAAATTTTGGGAACCAAAAATTCCAAAATTCGCTTGAAAATGAAACAGAACTAGGCTCTTTAATTTAATTCTATAATTGAATTTGAATTTTTTAGCTTCTGTTCTTTAAACATAGTAATTCCTGTGTAACGATGGAACCATATTTTTAAGCAAATTTATAATATATATATATATATATATATATATGTAGGTGTGTGTGTGTTTGTGTGTGTGCAGCTAATTTGTAAATCTGTTGCTATAAAAAATAAATTTTCAATTGCTATCATGAAACTGAAGAATTTTTACCGCGCTCATCGAGCATTATGTATACACTAATAGAATTTTGGTATATAAAAATTTTCGGGCACTAATCAAAAATGCATTAATCGATTTCCCATTAATCGATGGATGTCTGTGTTTTGATACTAAAAAATAAACTGTATTTTCAAACAGCAGATGAGCAAGACGTTTGTAACTTCCGAACCAAAATCTCCTTCTTCATGGATTTCGTCTTTTCAGGACATAGGCGATCATGGCGCTCCACATTTTCCTGTCTTTCGTAGCTCTAAATAACCTGTGTCATTTTGTTATCTTTTCTTGTTCCATCATCCATTTACTTGCGCTCGTTAGGCAGATCATGCGTTGTTTTCCTCTGCCCTCTTTCCTTCAATCTGTCCTTTGAGCATCAGATTTTCCAAGCCTTCTTTCCTCAATATGTGCCCAACGTTACTTTTGTTTCCATTATCACAAATCCTTGCTCTAAATTTTCATGCCTTGTAGATTTGAACGAAACTCAGTGTTTTTATTTTTGTTTTTATTGGATACTTTGTTGTTTTTTTACTAATGTTCGCCATACGCAAGACCCAAGAGCTACTCAAGTTAGAGTGTTACTGTAGGAAGTTGTTATATGAGCGGTAAGACTAAAAAGTAAGAAGCGCATTTTATGAGGATATGTAGGAAATACAACAGTTAACACAAGACTTGGCGACTTTAAACTTAGGAATAGTACCAGGAAGATGGTGCCTGTCAAGTCGCAACAAAGACTTCAGACTGTTGTGGTAGGATCCACCTAATTTGCATAGTGGAGTACCGACCATATAAATATGGTTGGTACCGGGAAGACGAGGAGAGGAATCAAGAGATTCAATCCAAAGACTCTGCCCGACTGCGACTAAGTCAACCCATTCTCCAGGAACGGTCTTCCCAAGAAGATACAAAAGACTATATGTAAATATTGTGTACACTTTCTTGTTTCAATACATTTTGTTCTAAGTACATTTTGTGTTGTATTATTATTCCATGCATTAGTCAAGTTTCAACACAGACAAACAATATTTTCCAAATATGCTTGCTATAGCAATTAATGCAGGTTTTTGTAGAGTTCGGAAAAAAGTTCCATATACTAAGTTGGTCGACATATACTTTAAGTTTCTATGGAGTGAATCCAAGTGTCTGGGATGAATTTAACATTGCTCAGGGGCATTTTCCACAAACTGGCAATGACAAATTTCAGAGTATTTGGCTGATCTTTTCTATTTGTTTTGCTTCTGTATTTTAATCAGATGGTCATTTGACACTCATTAATACATGGCCCCTTTTTAAAAGTAAAAAATTATTAGCAAAGAAAATCTCAGTCTACTCACCTGTACAATTTTTGCCGTTTCCTGCGTAACCCGTTTTACACTGACAACTGTAATTACCAAAGCTGTTTCTGCACTCGGCTGCGGAATGACAAGTATTCGGATCGGAACATTCATCAATATCTAATAAAAGAAATCAGAAAAACTTACATTAGTATTACCAATTACATTGGTCAACGCGATTTTTGGTGCCAAGAAACAAAACACATTTTTTAGCTCATTTAATGGTTTTTCATGGTTAGCTACCGTTTTTGCTGTACTAAAATTGCTCATTTAAAAAAAAAATCAATTTACGATCTTAGCTGATCAATTTTCAGATAGGCCGAGTAATTTATGTCAGCGAACTTAAATAAACTTTTTTCATAAGAAAAAAGTGTTTTTGAGTCAACAATTTTTTAAATAGATATAACGAAGTTGTCCACTTTATCACCAAATTTTAAATTAACTGATAAACTTTAGTAAACCTGGTAATTAAGGCGACATAAAAAAATGAAACTCTTATTGCGTTTGGTCGAACATATTGCGCTTTGGTCGAACATAGCTATTTGATCCAACATATTGTGCTTTGATCAAAAATATTGCTATTTGATTTGAACATATTGCGCTTTGATCGAACATATTGCAATTTGATCGAACATATTGCGCTTAGATCGAACATATTGCTCTTTGCTCGGATATATTGCGCTTTGATTGAACATATTGCTATTTGGTCGAACATAATGTGATTTGATCGAACATATTACGCTTTGGTCGAACATATTGCTATTTGATTTGAACAAATTGCGCTTTGATCGAACATATTGCAATTTGATCGAATTGCGATTTTGACGAACATATTGCGATTTGGTTGAACATATTGCGAATTGCATGTTTAATCTGAACACGAAAATCTTTACTTACCTATGCACTCCTTTTGTAGATTCAATTTGAAACCATCTTTACATTTGCATATGGCGGAGCCTTTTGTGTTTTGGCAGAAAGAAGTTGTCGTGTTGCAGAAAGTTGGATCCTGGCATTCATCAATATCATCATCACAAGTAACTCCTGTATAGCCTGGTTCGCAAATACAACCGTTTGTTTTGTTACATATTTTGCAATTGGCACCCGAGCATCGGTTTGCGCAGTTTTCACCCCATTCATTATGGCCGCACTCTAAAATCAAAGACATTGAAAACAATAGATATTTTGATAATGGAATTGAAGATGCATACAAACCTGTGCAATGGTTCAACCCATGTGAGACATTTCTATTGATTCAATATTAAGAGTTTACGAATTACTATGAATATCTATCTATCTATCTATCTATCTATCTATCTATCTATCTATCTATCTATCTATGTCTGCTCATTGTCTATCAATCTATGTCTATTCGTATCTATCGTTCTCAAACTCTTCATATCTATCTATCTATCTATCTATCTATCTATCTATCTATCTATCTATCTATCTCAGTCTGTTTATTATCTATCTAGCTATCAATCTATCTACCTATCTCTCTATCTCAAAGTATTCCTATCTATCTATCTCAAACTCTTTATATCTATCTCAGACTCTTCATATTTCTCTATCTATCTATCTATCTATCTATCTATCTATCTATCTATCTATCTATCTATCTCAGTCTGTTTATTATCTATCTATCTATCAATCTATCTACCTATCTCTCTATCTCAAAGTATTCATATCTATCTATCTCAAACTCTTTATATCTATCTCAGACTCTTCATATTTCTCTATCTATCTATCTATCTATCTATCTATCTATCTATCTATCTATCTATCTATCTATCTATCTATCTATCTCAGTCCGTCAATCTATCTATGCAACCATCTTTTAGCAAAAACTATTATTCTTTCAAATTAAAATATGTCTAGGTTTGAAACAACACATAAATGTTTGATAATTTCTAAAAACAAATCAATCACTAAATGAGATAGTTAGACTGATAAAAACATTTCCTGAGAGATAGACAGGGATCAATTAATAGATAGATAGATAGATAGATAGATAGATAGATAGATAGATAGATAGATAGATAGATAGATAATGAAAAGAGTGAGATAGATAGATAGATAGATAGATAGATAGATAGATAGATAGATAGATAGATAGATAGAAGAGAGTGGGCATGATACATCTCATTGGAATGAGATAGATATATAGCTAACATTTATAAAGAATAAATAAAACAAATTTTATAGTGTGTGTCATGTTGAACTAAACTCATAATCTGAAAAGTTTAATTATATATATGCCATGAATTTCGGAAAAAAACATTAAATGATATTATTATAATATTGCTTCTTTTCTTTAAAACCTTTTAATAAGCATTTCCCAGAATTGTGGATAATTTACTCAGAGAGAAAAGTTTGGTTTGACTGTCTTATATACACAAACGCTAGGAATCGAAGATGTGTAATGACATTATTGCATTAATTTTGGCTTTAATATCGTCTTCTCAATTAGTCTTGGGCCATCAAATCCCGAACAGTACGGAAAAATTGTCACTTGGAACTTTATAGTTGCTATTTTGTTTATCAGATTGATAATTTACATCAAACCGAATGATATACTAACCTGTACATGAGAGTCCATCAGCGTTCAGTTTATTACCGATTGGGCATTTGCAAAAGTATCGTTCGACTGTGTTTTTGCATTCTGCGTTCTTGCACGGGTTGTTGAGGCATTCGTTAATGTCTGTTAAAAAAGTAATTAAAAGCAAGATTTCAAGCAAACTGCAGGATCTGATAAAATAATAGATAGATAGATAAATAGATATATAGAGAGATTATGAATAAGCTGTGATAGAAAGATAAAAATGTAGATCGATATTATAAAAATATTGTGATAGATATTGTGAATATACTGATTGATAGATGATAGATAGATAGATAGATAGATAGATAGATAGATAGAGATATGAAAAAGGACTGAGATAGATAGATGATAGATAGATAGATAGATAGATAGATAGATAGATAGATAGATAGATAGATAGATACGAAAAGGACTGAGATAGATAGATAGATAGAGATGATAGATAGATAGAGAAAAGGATAGATAGATAGATAGATAGATAGATAGATAGATAGATAGATAGATAGATATAAAAAGGATGGAAGATAGATAGATAGATAGATAGATAGATAGATAGATAGATAGATATTAAAAGGAATGAGATAGATAGATAGATAGATAGATAGATAGATAGATAGATAGATATGAAAATGACTGAGATAGATAGATAGATAGATAGATAGATAGATAGATAGATAGATAGATAGATGAAAAGGACTGAGATAGATAGAAGGAGATGAGATAGATAGATGGAGATAGGATAGATAGATGATAGATAGATAGATAGATAGATAGATGAGATGAAAAGGACTGAGATAGATAGATGAGATAGATAGATAGATAGATAGATAGATGGATGAGATAGATATGAATGAAAAGGAGATAGATGGATGAGATGAGATAGATAGAGATAGATAGATGGATAGATAGATAGATGGATAGATAGATAGGATATGAAAAGGACTGAGATAGATAGATAGATGGATAGGATGATAGATAGATAGATAGATAGATAGATAGATAGATAGATGGATATGAAAAGGACTGAGATAGATAGATAGATAGATAGATGATAGATGGATGAAAGGACTGAGAGGGATAGATAGATGGATAGATGGAAGGATGAGATAGATGGATGGATAGATAGATAGATAGATAGATAGATAGATAGATAGATAGAGCGATGATGGAGGAATTTAGATAGATAGATAGATAGATATCATGAATGGACTAAGATAGATAGATAGATAGATAGAGATAGATAGATAGATAGATAGATAGATAGATGATAGATAGATAGATAGATGAATTGAAGAGCGTGATAGGGAATTTAGGTAGATATATAGATATCATGAATGGACTAAGATAGATAGATAGATAGATAGATAGATAGATAGATAGATAGATAGATAGATAGATAGATTGAACAGAGCGTGATAGGGAATTTAGGTAGATATATAGATATCATGAATGGACTAAGATAGATAGATAGATAGATAGATAGATAGATAGATAGATAGATAGATAGAACAGAGCGCGATAGGGAATTTAGGTAGATATATAGATATCATGAATGGACTAAGATAGATAGATAGATAGATAGATAGATAGATAGATAGATAGATATTATGAACATATTGTGCTAGATAAATAGATAGATATTATAAATACTCTGTGAAAGAAAGAAAGAAAGAAAGAAAGAAAAATAAGATAGAAAGATAAATATATAGATACATATTATGAACTTATTGTGATAGATATTATGAATAGACTGTGGTAGATAGATTGATAGAATGGACAGACTGTTCTAGATAGATAGATAGATAGATAGATAGATAGATATATAGATAGATAGATAGATAGATAGATAGATAGATTGAACAGGGTGTGATAGGTATTTAGGTAGATATACAGATATTATGAATGGACTAAGATAGATAGATAGATAGATAGATAGATAGATAGATAGATAGATAGATATTATGAACATATTGTGCTAGATAAATAGATAGATATTATAAATAGTCTGTGAAAGAAAGAAAAATAAGATAGAAAGATAAATATATAGATACATATTATGAACTTATTGTGATAGATATTATGAATAGACTGTGGTAGATAGATTGATAGAATGGAGAGACTGTGCTAGATAGATAGATAGATAGATAGATAGATAGATAGATAGATAGATAGAAAGATAGAAAGAAAAATAGATAATGATCAGGTATTCTCGTTTTCTGAGCCCATCCATCTGCTAAAGCGTCTATCCATGCCAATCCCTAGCAGAAACGCCTGCTCATTCATATTTGTGTATGTTCAACACCTACAGAACCAAACCTGTTTATAATACTGCAACTGTAAAACTTTGTGTTACAGTTTCCGTTATAAAGTGTTTAATCTGACGTTATTAGACGCTTTAAAAAGTCCAGTGAGTTTAAACTTTCGATGACATATGACTTCATATTAACAAAACTATCGACATTTTACGAACCGTTATGTACCTAATTTCACTCACAATAACTGTCTTTCTTTTTGTTTGTTTTGTTTTTTACAGCAAAGTTCAGTCTGTACAAGGATCGGGGACCACTTGTGGTAGAGGCTTACATTAATCTATCTACTCCTATTAAGGTAAAATAAATAAATAAATAGTAAATAGGGTTTTAGGCGAAATCGTTAGAAGTACAGAATTCGACTTATGAAGCGACCGGAAACCCAATCCTAAACAGGAAATAAGGGATAATCCTGTTAAAAAGAACCGGGCGCTAAGCGAACCTATCTACCAGTCTCTCATATTTTATGCAAACTTGAATAATCCAGCGAACAAATATAAATTTAGGTGGTTTGAATGTTACTTGATTCTAAAAGATACAATACATCACGAGACGTGGGTTTCCATGTCAGTGGCTTTTTTTTTTTAAACAGTAAGTTTCACCCTGTATAAGGCCCAGAGGCCACTCGAGATAGAGGGTTACGTTAAGAAGCAGTTTATACAAATACGAAGGGAAGATAACGGTTAACCTTGAACAGGTTAAGATTGCAATGATCGGGGAACCATCCTCTTGGGAGTGGGTTCTACAGAGCAGTGGTTCGCTGAAAAAGCTGTTCGAGTGAAACACCAATGGAATGCAGGAGAATTGTGGGTAATTTGCTACAATGTCAGTAGTATGGCGGGCCCTTGCCTTAAATGTTAGACCCTTGCGGAACCAAGGAATTCGTGCGAGCAATTACCATGGAAATAGCGAAAGAGCCGTAAAAGACCGTCACATCCCGTCTGTGAGACAGAGGTTTGAGGGTAGATAATAATTTGTTAGCCAAAAGAACACGAAGACGCTTTCGGACTCTATCGAGCCTGGAGGGTGAGGACTGGGCAGCTCTCGGCCAAATATGAAAACAGTACTCGATTTTAGGTCAGATCTGACTCTTGTAAAGGTAGAAGATAACATGAGATGTCAGGTATTTACTGGAGTGGTACTTCGGAGTTGATCATTAAATCTTTGGGTATGATTTTCAAAAGTCGGTCGGCTCTCTGTACCGTCCCAAAAAATACCTGACCCCTCATGCTATCCTCTACCTTTCGGTTCGGAAAATGACTTCCCAACGGTGCTGTACTATATTACCCAGAAGGTACGACCTTGAGAAATCAGATATGGTGAGTTTCAAACCCGGGTCTCATGATCGGAAAACTGACTTTCTGACCACTCTGACACGTGCCCACTATGGCAAGCTTTGATGTCTTTGTTTAATAAAGTATACACACATGATATTCCGGCCTATAGGAACAGTTACGGGAAAATAAAACGGCTTACCTTCACACGCATTTGTATTATTGTTAAATGCTAATCCGCTGTCACAAAAACATTTTGTTAATCCGTTCAAAACTGTACATCCGCTGGCATTAGAGCATGCATTTGTTCCGTTGCAAAGATCAATTTCTGTAAATAAATAAAGATGCTTGACAAAGGACTAAATTTGTTTACTTTGATGCAACTGCGCATGCGCACGAAAGAAAGGAAGACATTGAGAATTTCATTTTGTTTTAATTTAATATATGATTTGGGTATATAATCTAGCCGAGTTCCTTTAGATTCCTTTTTCGTTTTGTTTGTTTCCATCACTTTTGTTATTTAATACCTGACATTGCCATAATGGAAGATCTGCCAAGAATGGTGAAATGTGAAAACTTGCACCAAATTTATTTTCTAAACATTTAAGTCAATTTATTTCTCTTTTAATTAGAGTAGAATTTTGTGATCCGTCTCGTTACGATGAACAATTAATGTGTTTAATGTGTTGTTTTGTAAAAGATCCCTTTTGTGTTCATATAATGTTATTTAAATTCCTTGAAGTTTCTCCGATGTATTCCTTTTGGCAATTATTACAGGTAATAGAGTAAATTCCTCCATCAAATTTTAACTTATTATTGTGTCATGTATTAAGTCTTTTAATGTTTTAGATGTTGTTGTGCCAAATGTTATATGGATTCTTTTCAATCATTTTTCTAGTTCTAAACAATATATTTTGATTCATTAAATTTGTCGGGACAGGTTTTCTATTTTGAAATATATTATGACACCTTTGTTTTGCATTGAATATGGTAGAATTATGGTATTAGATGAGTTTAAATGTATTTTCAATGCATTTCTTTTCTTCATCTAAATTCTGAGCGCTAAAAATTATGAATGCTCTTAAATAGAACCTGATGATTATTCAGGACTTAATTTTGTTGTTATGGTGAGAATAGAAATTTATGAGATCATTTTTATTAGCTGATTTTCGATGGACACTGAGTTTTAGGCTATTGTTAACGCAGTGTAACATGATAACGAGGAAAAATGAAATATTGTTTGCTTCTATTTCGCAAGTTAATTCAATCGTATGTTCGACTTTGTTTATATTATTATAAATAAGCAAAAATTTCCTAATGCATGGCTGGTGGCGTTACCAATGCCAAATGTGAAGTAGCCGAATCGTATTTGACTACAATTCAACTTTGTTAATTAAGATCACTCTTTCTTGTGACAAAGGTATCGGTCCATTTTTTCCCACTATGTAAGATTTAAAAATTAGACGTCTTTGGCTTAACATGGCAACCCGTCAAGGAGAGGGAAAATTCTGAATACACAACCAACTTCAAAATGGATGAGCTTCGTCAGGCTATATATATATATATATATATATATATATATATAAAGACATTTTTATGCATATACATTCTTTTTATAGATACATATATTTAAAATAATTGTCAGGCTTTGTCTGACGAATATTTTCTATGAAAATTTCTCGGACATTCAGGCCGATAACTGTTGTTTAATACTGTTTATTATAAGCTGAGCATTTACGTAAGTATTTGTATCTATAAAAATTGTCTGATATATTTCATAATCTACTATTTATTCTGCACCTTAGCCTACTTACTCTATATTCCATTTTTTACAATGATGTTAACAATTTACAACGCCCAAGAGACATTCAAGGTAGAGTGTTAAAGTATAAGAGACAGTTTATGGGAATATATATGGAAAAGATGAAAGTTAACACAGGATTGTAACGACCAGGGAGGCATCGTCTTTTGAGACGATCCCACAAAGCAGAGCGCTCTTTTTTACTGACCTTTTATGCACGAAGTTCCATTAAATTTGTAGCCGGGATAACAGGAGCAATTGTAAGATCCTTCAGTGTCTTTGCAAATCTGATCACATTTATGAAGAGAAAGGGCGCATTCGTCTAGATCTGCAAAAAAGAATTCATTATAGAACATTATTAATTAAAGTAATTACTACAGAAAAAATAGAAATAATTCTTTCCGAAATAAGGAAATAATTCACGTGGAAATGGGCAAATAATTTTTCCAGAAATAGGGTAATAAATGACTCACAATTACAGAAATTAATCCCGCAGAAATCGGGAAAACTCTCGCATAAATAACGAAATAATTGAATAGGACAGAAGGAAATAATTCTCAGAGAAATAATTCTTGCAGAAATGAAGGTCAACCTCGCAGAAATAAGAAAATAATTTTCTCAAAGTTAGGGTAATAATTAAATCAGCAATAAAGAAATTATTCTCTCTAGGGAAATAATTATGCTAGAAATAGGGTAAAAGACTCAAATATAAGGAAATAATACTCGCTGAGAGGAAACAATTCTAGCACAATTTTAAAGAAAAAAATATTACCAGCAATAGATTTTTGATGAAAAAAATATTACCAACAATAGATTTTTGAAGAAAAATATTAACAGCAATAGATTTTTGAAGAAAAAATATTAGCAGCAATAGATTTTTGAAGAAAAATATTACCAGCAATAGATTTTTGATGAAAAAAATATTACCAACAATAGATTTTTGAAGAAAAATATTAACAGCAATAGATTTTTGAAGAAAAAATATTAGCAGCAATAGATTTTTTAAGAAAAATATTAACAGCAATAGATTTTTGAAGAAAAAATATTAGCAGCAATAGATTTTTGATGAAAAAAATATTACCAGCAATAGATTTTTGAAGAAAAATATTACCAGCAATAGATTTTTGAAGAAAAATATCAACAGCAATAGATTTTTGAAGAAAAAATATTACCAGCAATAGATTTTTTAAGAAAAATATTAACAGCAATAGATTTTTGATGAAAAAAATATTAACAGCAATAGATTTTTGAAGAAAAATATTAGCAGCAATAGATTTTTGAAGAAAAATATTACCAGCAATAGATTTTTGAAGAAAAAATATTAACAGCAATAGATTTTTGAAGAAAAATATCAACAGCAATAGATTTTTGAAGAAAAAATGTTAGCAGCAATAGATTTTTGAAGAAAAAATATTAACAGCAATAGATTTTTGAAGAAAAAATATTAACAGCAATAGATTTTTGAAGAAAAAATATTAACAGCAATAGATTTTTGAAGAAAAATATTAACAGCAATAGATTTTTGAAGAAAAAATATTAGCAGCAATAGATTTTTGAAGAAAAAATATTAACAGCAATAGATTTTTGAAGAAAAATATCAACAGCAATAGATTTTTGAAGAAAAAATATTAGCAGCAATAGATTTTTGAAGAAAAAATATTAGCAGCAATAGATTTTTGAAGAAAAATATCAACAGCAATAGATTTTTGAAGAAAAATATCAACAGCAATAGATTTTTGAAGAAAAAATATTAGCAGCAATAGATTTTTGAAGAAAAAATATTAGCAGCAATAGATTTTTGAAGAAAAAAATTTTACCAGCAATAGATTTTTGAAAAAAAAATATTGTCGGTATTAAATAACCCACTGAGGTTGATATATCGTAAAACAAACTAAATCAAATCATATCATTCGTTTCGTTCCACTTCTTCTTGCATAACACCTTATAACCATTTTATAAGTAACCTATGACATCGGTACTTCTGTCTGTGGGTGAACATTAATCTAATAAATGCATAAATAGATTCAAGAATATAGTTAATAGAAAACAATAACTTACTGATGCATTCTGTTTTGTTGACCAATAAATAGCCTTTGTTGCAAGAGCATTTGTAACTCCCAATAGTATTTTCACAAGCTTGAGAACAGTTGTTTGTTGTTTTCAAGTTGCATTCATTTATATCTATTGAAGTATAAAAAGAAAGAGAAGACAGATTTAAAAATTAAAAAAAAAACATAGTTCACAAAAGGAATTGAATCGTGAATAAAATTACAAATTAGTAACGGCCTAAAGAATAAAGACGTTGGTTAGATCCAGTGTCTAGATCCAAAGAGTTGTGAGTTCCATACCATGCCACAGAAGTGGTGAACCAAAACTTGGAGATTTGAGTTAAAGGGAAATAACTGAGATATCCGGAAGAGGTATGTCACGTGGAACCAGAACAATCTACCTGGTGGGTGAAATAAAGGGTTTGTTTGAAATCACAATCACCTAAAGAAGGCCGGAGCGTACAACGGCCGAAACGTTGTGAATATGGCAGTGAAGATGGGGATAACGGTCCGAATAATGTAAATAATGCAAGTAATCACGATACCTCATCTCAGAGATATAAGCAGATCTTTTTAATTGTTCATCTTGGCGGCGAAAGCGATTTTTTTAAAAAAAAAAAAACTCATTTATTTAATTTAAACTGAAAACCTTTCTTGGCGTTTCTTACTAATGATATTCGATATCAGTGTTAGCCAAACTATTGATGGTGTATGTATTGCTGAAAAGTACTCAGCCTGACTAAGAAATTATTAAAAAGTGGCATCTCTTGGTTTGTTCAAATTTTAGAAAGTATGTCATCTCGCTCATGGACCCAAGACAATACGATGTTAATTCAAAATCACAGTATAAACCTTTTACAGAAATTGTATTTCGTAATATCTAGCGATGCCTTGGATCAACCTTAAACTAATGTATATATCTTTCTTGATGTTTTCTTAATTGCTATTGTTCCCAGGTACACCATGACCCGGGGTGTTAGATCACCAGCTATGAGCAAATAGTTAACACCCAAACTGGGGTCAAAACAATAGAAAAGTATAAAAATACATTTTCATAGTAAAAATATCGGCAACACATATTCATAGTAAAAGAAATTACCAAAAATACATTTTTGCAAAAGAAATTAAAAATGCCCCCAAGAAAACTAAATTTCGGCACTAAATGACCGATGAGGAGTTGATATGCCGCTAAACAATTTCTCAGCCTTTCTAATCAATATCAGTTATATCGCTTTATTATAGTTATATACAAAAGATGCCAGATATTTAATTGTTATAGCGGAACACACCTATTCTATAGTTAATAGACTCTCCCACCTATAATATGCAGGAGTAGTAATAGTAACGAGAAGTCAGTCAGTGAGTCGGTCAGTCAGTTGATGTCGGACGACAGTTAGTCGAATACTAAAGTATCAGCGACCACAACTAGATTACTCTTCGTCATTACCTATTATATCAAGTTCCTAACGTTTTGTACGTCGAACCTATTTTAGGGACCGACTTAGTACAAATACAAGCCTCCACTGTGAAATCACTCCACAACAATATATTTGGCGACGAGGATGAGATAAATATATTATTGTGGAGGCTTACAATATATTAAGCAATACACGGACAAGACAGTGATGATAGTCTGTTTCTGTTTACTTAATATATTGTATGTAATTGTCATCTTTGATAATGGCTTATGTAAGTATCTCATACGGAAATGGTCATATATATATATATATATATATATATATATATATATATATATATATATAACGTTTATATATATATATATATATAAATGTAAAAAGACAATAGGAAAACTGTAATATTAGACGACGCGTTTCGTTTAATGTGGACTTTTTCAACACAAAAACGAAATGAATTTATAAAAATCAAAGTAATTATTAGCAACAAAACAAAATGTCCTTAGCAACTAGAATTTAGAAAAAGCTCTTGTATTCATATTGTCAACTGAAAACTACGTTAATTACTGTCATGTGTGGAAATATTGTTTTTATTGTTGTGTTGACGGATTCATCCATTTTCTTTTGATTTCTTGATACAATTGTCTACGTTTGCTTGGGAGAGTAGTACTTCTGTTAAGAAAAGTGAAATAGTGTAGATTAATATTTGGATAATATTACAGTTTTCCTATTGTTTTTTACATTTATAAATATTTCATTATACGTTTTTCATATATATATATATATATATATGTAATTATTTTTTATAAAAAAAAATTTATAACATAAATATGTTATAAAATCACTACAAAAATAGCCATTTTGTTTCAACACCCTCGGTGTCTTATCAAGTGATGTTGAATTTTGATAAGACAGCGAGTGTGTTTAAACAAATGGCTATTTTTGTAGTGATTTTATAACATATTTATGTTATAATTTTTTTTTTTAATAAAAAATAATTATATCTGCTCTACTTTGTATTGAGCACTCTTTTAAGAATAGTAATTGTTGGTTATTGGAATTCATTCCGTATACGCCAATTATATACTTGAGTATATATATATATATATATATATATATATATATATGTGTGTGTGTGTGTGTGTGTGTGTGTGCGCGTATTATTATTATGAGTGTATGTGTGTGTGCGTGTGTCTGTGTGTGTATTATTATTATGAGTGTATGTGTGTGTGTGTGTGTGTGTGTGTGTCTGTGTCTGTATTATTATTATGAGTGTATGTGTGTGTGTGTATAAGGTATAGAGTTTCCGGTAACGTTATCATAAGTGTTTGTTTATTGTTCTTATTTTCAACTGCTACTTACCAACACATTTATCCACAAATCTATAGCCGTTGGGGCAATCACACGTGTAGTTGTTATCTGGTCCATAGCAAGGACAGTTGAGAGGGTCACAACGTGCATCGATGGTGCAATATGGACCTGTACCAATAGAAAATGGAAATGTCAAAAGAATTCAAGTCAAAATTAAGCCACTGAAGGTCAAAGGTTGATAAATGTGGATGATGTAAGGACGTATAGGTGAGGATCAAGGGTTGCATATTATGAGAATAGATAACAGTTGAGTTCTCGACTTGAAGAATTTAACATCATAGCGATCAGAGAATCATCGGCTAGGAAGTTTGTTCCATATTGGAACGATTCTAGAGAAGATGATATCTGAATGGACATTACTGCTTGCTAATGGAACATAAAGACAATGAGAATCATTCGACCATATACGTGGCCTGATGGGTCCTAGCTCTTAAGGTCTGACTGGGTATTGTAATTCGACAGAACATGTCTGGTGAGAGGATAGTCACGTTTCGGCTGAAGGGTGTAACGGTTTAAACACTCCATCAACCACAAGACTGCGCAATTTGAAACATTTGGTACCCCGACCAAGATATGGCAGCAATACCTCGTTGTTGATTGGAGGTTTGGGAATGATCTCTTTCTGTCATGGGTAAATGTGAAGATGTTAAGTGTTTCCCGCGTGCGTGTATTGAAATAAGGGCAAATACATACGTAGGGAAAAATACTGGTATATCTGAAGAGGTATTTACAACAGAGAGATTAGTAGTCAAACGAACGCAGGTTAGTCAGTAACAATCAGAAAGAGTATAAAGTCCAACTGTATCTTCCGGTAGAGAGACGGAAGTGTGATGGTCACCTGATCTTCCCAGAACTCTATAGAACTGTCCTATTAGTAGTAGAGAGATCAGTCCATTCTGATGAGAAGGTGGGTGCGCCCCAACAGTAAACAACCTCTCTACTCTTGATCTCACTCTCTGTTACCCTTTGCGTGCCTTATTGCCTTGCTTGGGTGATATGCTTAAAAAATATATGAAGCTTCTTTTTGCTGGCAGGGTTAGGATCATATTCTCAATGTGAGAAAACATTCGAAAATCATTCAAGGTGAAATTACAGAAAGGAAACATCGTTCATTATATTTAGTTATTTAAAATGTATTTTTTTAATCATTTCACCCTAAGCAAGGCAATAAAGCTACTAAGACGCATTGGTTTAATCAGTGTAAAAGAATATGAGAAAAAAAGAAAACATTATTAAGGAGAGAGAACATGAATTAAGAAGACAGAAGATAACGATTTGCATTACATTTAAACTTTTGAAAATCAACATCGACTGAAAAGCAAGAAGCAGGAAGAGAGTTCCACAAGCAAGAAATAAGAAAGAAGAAACTGTCAGCATAGAACTTACGGTTACATCTAGCCATTTCACTGTAAGAAGATGAGACCTTGGAGACAATCTGATAATTTAATTTCATAAAGTCGAGATACCAAATAGATAATTTCATCAGAATAATTACCATGAAAGTATTTATATAAAAGGCGACGTTACAGCATTAAGTGCCTGAAGCTAACAAGCTGAGGTGGATTTTTCTATTAAAGTTAGCAACTGGGGGACGGTTGTCCGGGATCAAGTGGGGTAAAGAGCTATGAAGAGAATAGAGTCCGGTGCGCCGTAGAGGCTAATTTTAAGCTACTTTATAATAAAATTTAATTTTCTAATTTTAAGCTACTTTATAATAAAATTTAATTTTCTAATTTTAAGCTACTTTATAATAAAATTTAATTTTCTAATTTTAAGCTAGTTTCTAGCAAAATTTAATTTTCTAATTTTAAGCTAGTTTCTAATAAAATTTAATTTTCTAATTTTAAGCTAGTTTCTAATAAAATTTAATTTTCTAATTTAAGCTAGTTTCTAATAAAATTTAATTTTCTAATTTTAAGCTAGTTTCTAATAAAATTTAATTTTCTAATTTTAAGCTAGTTTCTAATAAAATTTAATTTTCTAATTTTAAGCTAGTTTCTAATAAAATTTAATTTTCTAATTTTAAGCTAGTTTCTAATAAAATTTAATTTTCTAATTTTAAGCTAGTATCTAACAAAATTGTTACCAATTACGTTTAAGGGACATTCGTTCTTTATTCTGCAGTTGGTCCAGCTTAGAAAACAGCAAAGATAATTATGAAGATATAGGGTGACCCAAAAAAACGGTAATTTTTGAAGTGTGTATTGCAAGACATGAGCAAGTAGCAACACTGCGAGACAGTGATCTTGAGCAGGTAAACATTTCGCCATTTAGAATTCAAGATGAAATTCACAGTATCCCAGCTGAGATGTTGCAGCAGTCAATGAGGAATCTCAACAGCAGATTTCAAGAATGCATTCGTACAGGAGGACGCCAACTACAGGACGTAATTTTTTAAAAATGAAAATTCCATCATCGTTTCTTAAATGGCATGTTTTAAGGTTTCAATTACTACGAAGAAAATATTTTTCTTTCATCACTCTTGGTTTTATTGGATTGTTAAAAAGTTCCCATTTTTGGGGGTCACCCTGTATAACATTGAATTTCTCACTTCACACCATGGCTAAACAAAGACGCAAACGCCACACGGTGGATGACTTTACACGAATAAGTCATTGTTATTTGATACATTGCTTAAATATCTTATAAATGATAAAATGTCGTATATGAAATAAACAACTAATATTTTTTTAGAACGTCGATTTAGTTACGTCGATTTCGTTGCTGTTATTTTCTTAGCCCTACATATTACGTCTTTATTTATTATCTGTTTAGATACTTATTAAACATCCTATAATAGTAAAAGAAAGGGAGAAGAAAAGACTATGTATCAAGTGTAAAAAGACAGGATACATAGATGTAAGTGATAGGAAGAGCCCAATATAAGAAATACGAACTGAAGATAAAATCAAGGAAGTACAAAATTTTAGATATTGGTGGTGCTAGGTAACAAAGGTCGAGAAATGTGACCCTAACACCCGAAGAAGTATTGGCGTAGCAAATAACGCCTTTCAAAAGTTAAGTAAAGTATTAAGAAACAGGAAAAGTTCGTTAGAAACAGGGAAAAGAATGCTGAACTATTATACAATGTAATATCGGTCCTCTTATATGGCAGTGAGCACTGGACAATCTCATCACAATTGAAGAAAATAACAGAAATGTCTCAGTTAAAATTGAAACAAAAAGGACATTTATACTTACAATAAAAAAAAACAGTTGAAATTTTGGGGGCACATAATGAGGAAAGAAGGTTTAGAAAATTTGACACCCACTTGAGATATTGAAGGCAAGATGGACAGAGGAAAGCAATGCATGACTTATCTAACGAACATTAGGAAAATTCTTGGAGGGGGTGAATTAAGAGAGATAACATAAAGAAAACTAGAGCTCTAAAGGAAAGGAAAAATTGGAGCGCCATAATGATGCATATACATTACCTCTCCATCCTGTGTTACATTTGCATGTATATTCGTAATCATTAAGTAAACTTTTGGAACTTTTGTCGCAAATACCATGTTTGTTGCAGTAAGGGCATACCATCACGGTCAAGTTGACTAGTGGAGTTGTCATGTTATACACATTACTCACTTGAAACCTGAAAGTTAACGAAAATTTCAATTATTCTTAGCAGAGAAACTATTTTTTACAATGATGTTCACCCTATGTAAGTCACAAGAATCAAAAGATTAGAAATTAAAAGCCACAGTTCATAGGGATTCTTTTTATATATTTGCACATCGCTCTTTTCGTTACAAGTTAAAGCTGCGTTTGACCTTAAACCTGCCTCAGGTACTCTTGACGCACATTCATCTACACCCTTGTGTAAATTAATTGTAACAAAATGAATAATTCCTTTATTATTTACTTTTCGTATTTTTCCAATAACACATGACCAATTGCCTATGTACTTCGTATATCCATTCCACGAAGTCGTTCGTTGCAGATTGGCCACAGATTCTCGATTGGATTTAAATCAGGAGAGTTTCCGGACCAGTCAATTGTACTTTGATTTGCTAACTGGTAAGGCTTACCTGTGTGTTTGTGCAGCGTTACAATTTTTGTACGCTTCCTAGGAGTAATGTTCATCGCAAAAAATGGCCGTAGGAATACATGGACGAAACAATAACGATAGTCTGTTTTTGTTGCAACGACTAACTCGTGCATACGAGACGCGGAAGCGAAAATCGCATCTCGTGACGTCACACATGACCGCGCGAGAGTGAAAACGAGAAGTATTAAGTATTGGAAGCCGTTTGTATAAACCAATGACTTCTGTTATCAATTATAGGCATTTAAGAATATTTGTGGAGATCTCGCAGTTTATTTTGTTCAGGTTAGGTTTCAACTGTTTTATGTATATAGTTTCAAGAATTTTTAGTTTTTGTTTATTGGTTTCATGTTTAAGTATAGTTATGTTTTCAACGAGGATTTTTCGGAATTGTGTACGCGGCCAGGCACGTTGCTTTAAATGCCTATAAATGTTAGAGTTATCATTCAAATGTAGAGTCAAGCATCATGAAAGCGAGTTTGTGGTGTGACCAACATAAATATTATTTAATCTATTGGAGATACAATCTCCCAAAGGGCACTTGAATTTCAATGATAAGTTTATCAGACAATATGAAAAACATTTACTTAAAATAAATAGACAAAAGTTTTCTATAATATTTAATAAAACATGCATCAATAAAAATTGCTGCCTAATATATACAATTTATAGTGTTCCACGTGCCATGCATCTTCTGACCCGTATATATAAATAGCCAACAAAAATAACAGCACCCGTGGCCTGACGATTGCATCTAGCATGAAACAGACTGTCGCCTCTAAGTGTTGATTTCTATGTTCATATATATATATATATATATATATATATATATATATATATATATATATATATATATATTGTAATCCACAAACAGACTGTTTCTGCAGCTCATCATTGTAGCGAGACATCCGATCACTTCAAGCCGGGACTGAAACCCGACCGATTTGGCTGATGCCAAATTCTAACACCTAGGCTATCGACGCCCGGCTTTATTTTTTCATAAACACGCCAGTGACCTAGAGAACTCAATCCAGCTTGGAGAGTCTTGCGTTATCAGCAGTATCATTGACTGTTTACAAATTCGCATTTTTCTGCATGGACAGTTATGTTCATTTATTCTCGAACTAACATTTTTCGCTGACATGAATGGAAAGATTATATTGCTAGATCTGCTGCTAGGATTGTTGTCTCCTTGTGTCGTGCTAGAGAATTTTCCCGACTGAATATATCTTACATATTCATAAGTCTGCAATTCATCCTCGCTTTGACCTAGCAACACAGCTTCAGTCACTTTCCCCATACCATCAGTCCCGTAGCTTCCCTCTGCCTTTTCTATAAATGCGTTCATCGTAATTGTTCTGATTAACTTACCTCTATTGGACTTAGACTTTTTTTTATTTAAGCGTAGTACTAGTTTGACGACAAGATTTCATCATTTTACAGTTGAAATCGCTAAATATAACCGTAAGTTCTATGCTAACAGTTTCTTCTATCGCACCTCTCACTTGTGGAACTCCTCTTCCGGCTTCTTACTTTCATAAATTAAATGCAATATCCATTGTTATCTTCTGTTTTATTAATTCTTGTCCTTTTATTGTCTTCTCGACTTCATCGTGCTATTATCATATTTTTTAATAAAACTTGTTTATTAATGATTTTTCCCACCATCGCCAACCATATAAGCGATATTATTCCCAATGAATGAGTGACTTTCATTTATATATGAAACATCCTTAATTTCATTTTCTGAAAATGTAGGGACCCGGAAATTATTAAAACGGATATGGCAGATAAAAATAGATATGAAAGAAGACAATTGAATAGTTATGAGAGAGGGATAAAATATCAGTAAATAACGAGATAGATAGATAGATAGATAGATAGATAGATAGATAGATAGATAGATATTAACGGAATGAGATAGATAGATAGATAGATAGATAGATAGATAGATATTAAAGGAATCAGATAGATAGATAGATAGATATTAACGGAATCAGATAGATAGATAGATAGATAGATAGATAGATAGATATTAACGGAATCAGATAGATAGAAATGAAGAGTCTGAGATAGATATAAAAAATAGATGTTTACTTTCAATAATACTTACGCTGCTACAACTGGTTTGACGGCTGTCAGTTCGATGGCGATTCTCACTTCCTGATTCGAAAGAGAGACGTTACAATTTTTCTGTTCAATAACGTCGATAGTCAAGTTGTTACCTTTCACATCCATTAAATGAACTGAGGGTTGATTTACATTCACAGTGATATTATTCGACCCATTTAATATTGGTGATGTTATACCTGGAAACGATCAAATATAAGTAAAACACTAGAGTGATCAATGGTAAAAAGGTAACGTTTATTGTTGATTTGGGAACAAAATGATTAAATAACTTAGCAAATCACACAGTTGTTATTAATCTTATGATTATTAATTTGATCTTAATTTCATTGGATTTTTTATGCTGGGATTTGTTGGCTAATAATCGTAAAATGTGTGGTGCAAATATTGTAATGTTTATCGATGAGAATAATGGATTCAGCGGACCGAAATAAGGTTTCCGATTTATACTGTTTCGTTCACTTCCGTTGTCAAATGCCCAAATTCATCTTACTCTAGCTATGGGTTAAATAGCAGATCAGACTTGATTTGAGATGGCAATCAGGCTAGAAGGAAAATTTGAATTGCAAACCAGACTGAAAATGAATAGACTCCTCCAGGATATATTGTACTGTAGGTTATTTTGTACTATTAACACTATTGCTGCTGTAGCAGTAGTGCATATGATGTCTCTAAAGTCTAAGAAGTTACGGGATTCGTGATGTGACATCATAAAGGAATGACAATATGATATCTGTCTATATCTCTGAGTTAATATGATTACTTGCACAATTTACATTATTCGGACTGTTATCCTCATCTTCATTGCCATATTCACAACGTTTCGGCCTCTATATCTTAGAAATGAGGTATTATGATTACTTGCATTATTTACATTATTCGAACTGTTATCCTAATCTTCACTGCCATATTAACAACATTTCGTCCTCTTTATCTCCGAGATGAGATATTATGACTACTTTCATTATTTACATTACTCGGACTGTTATCCTCAGCTTCATTGCCATATTCATAACGTTTCGGCCTCTATATCGCTGAGATGAGGTATTATGATTACTTGCATTATTTAAATTATTCGGACTTTTATCTTCATCTTCAATGCCATATTCACAACATTTCAGCCCCTATATCTCTGAGATGAGATATTATGACTACTTGCATTATTTACATTATTCGGACTGTTATCTCCATTTTCATATATAACGTTTCGGCTGGTGATTGGAATTTCGAGTCGAACCCTTTATTTCGTCCACTGGGGAAGATTGTTCTAGTTCCAGCTCCACGTGCCATGCCTCTTCCGGATGTCTCAATTATTTCTCTTTAACAGAACTCACAAAGTTTGGTTTCGCCACTTCTGTGACCTGGTATTGAACTCACAATTCTTTGGTTCTAGTCTCTGGATCTAACCAACGTCTTTATCCACTGGGCTGGCAAAGACATCCAGAAGATGCATGGCACGTGGAACTAGAACAATCTACCCGGCTGGATGAATAAAGGGTTCAGTTCGAAATTCCAGTCACCTGCAGAAAGCCGGAGCTTACAACGGCTGAAACGCCGTGAATATGGCAATTAAGATGATGATAACAGTCCGAATACTGCAAATTAGGGCATAATTAAGGGGTTAAAGTTCCATACTACTTCAAACAAGAAATAATATTGAGACCCGCACCAATACTTCGTCCTGGGTATGACGATAAATTACATCCGGCAGCAAGGCCTCTGATCGTGAGGTTTTGAATAGCGTGGAACCACCTTTTAATTGCTGTTCTTCCCAGGTCAACCCTGACCAGGGGTGGTAGCACCTGTTAGTGTCCAAGCTATGGGCAAATAATTAACACCCACCAAAAAATGGGGGTATAACACAAGTAAAATACAAAAATACATAGTATTATAGTAAAAATACCAGCAATTTCGAAAGAAAAATATTACCAACAATAAATTTGAAAAAAAAACAATTACCATTTGACTCTCGACAAAAAACATCCTCTTTATAAAAATACGCCAGCGAAACCTGATCTAAAAACTGGTTTCTGACAATGAATGTATATTCTACTGCTCCGAACTTATCTTAAATATCTTGTCGATATCAAATGACATATTGAGGTTGACACGCTGTAAATAAAAATAAACCACAATCCTGGTGTACAAACAGATTTCTTGCAAAGAATGCACATTCTATTCATACGAACATACCCGAAAAATCTTAAATCCCCTATTAAGGTTGATAAGCCGTAAAATAAAATAAACTAAACCAAAAACCACAATTATTAGAAAGAACGGTAACAACTACTAAATAGATTTTGTACTAAAAATGTAAATTTTTTAATATTTTCACTGGAGATTCCGTATATTACTTAAAGAGAGAAATTGAGTCGAGTCTTTGCTGTAGGAATCAATGTAGGCTAACAGGAAACCACTTTGCTAAAAGGGGATTTCTACGAGAAGATGGGAATCCATTTTCGATTCCTGTCAAGAGGTAATTTTTATGATATAGTTTGGGAAACATTAATGTCACTGTTCTAATTATGGGAATGGCAATATAAAGAAAGAAGCAAATACTGACCTTCAAGTAATTTGACTTTATCTATTTCTAGTTCAATCAATTTGGTATATTTGGCGATATTTCTTTGCTTCGTAATCATATAATCGTAAATGCAATCGACCTCATTCACGGTACAGATTTTTACTGCATCTAGATATTCCTGTGAAGTTTTGTTGATTTTCAGGAATGTAGGAACAAAATTTGGAAACTGGAAACTCGCTTGGGATTCGCTACTTTCGTAATGGAATATGGATTGGTTCACTCTCCCTGCAAATGAATATAAGAGAACAATGATTGTGCATATATATATATATAGAGAGAGAGAGAATAGTTCAACTCACCAGAAACAATGTAGAGAAAAAGACAGAAGTAAAGATGTAAGATTGGGCTTAGGGTTTTGAAGGAAAGAAAGGTGAATATAAATTTGAAGAGGGAAATTAAGAGAATAAACCAAAATTCTAAAGTTGCATTAAACTACGAACCACGCGATCAATGTTATGATCCTTGTTTTTAATAACTACAAGTTGTATAAGGTCTTTTTTTTTAATCTGCACGCTCCAAAAGTTTTTACCCGTTAACAATAACACATTTCTAAAAAAAAACATATTTCGATTCGCATTTAATCTTTCGTCTCTGATACTACCTGGATTTATTAAAAACAAAATAATTTCCATGCCTGAAAAGATTAGTCCTGATGATGACAGTATGTACGGTTGAAAGTACTAGCAAATTAAAAAGAAAACCTTATACAACTTATAGGTATTAAAAACAAAGATCATAGCATTCATCGAATGATTCGTAGGTTAATGCAACTTTAAAATTTTAGTATTTTGTATTAATGATTCATTGTATATATATATATATATATATATATAGATAGATAGATAGATAGATAGATAGATAGATAGATAGATAGCTCGCTCTTTTGTTAGTTAGTTGTTACTCGTATCGGGGTTTTTTCTTTGGGCTTCAGACCTGCATCTGTGCGATTTTTTTGTCGGCAGAAGTTCATGTTTGTAGCTCTTTCTTTTTTTAAAACCTTTTTTTCCCTCGAGATTGATTTGATTAGCAAATCAAAAATTCGAGGGTTTTTCGAAACGAGTCTAGTTATCTCTCTCTCTCTCTCTCTCTCTCTATATATATATATATATATATATATATATATAATTATTTATTTAAAAATATGATTCCAACACGCTACATAAGAGTTCTCATATTTCAAAACAAGATCCGAAAACTTCAATATAATTATTTGAATTAAATTGAATTAAAGTAAGCTCTGTTCCATAATAACAAAAATACGAAAGAACTTTGGATTATTTACCTAACGAGTTCTTTTCCTATTTTCTATATATTTTCACACAGACACACACACACAAAAACACACACACACACACACACACCACACACACCACACACACATATATATATATATATATATATATATATATATATATATATATATATATATATATATATATATATATATATATATATATATATATGACAACGAAACTGGTGATTTCATTATTTCCATTACATATTGTTAAATATGTAAAAATTGCATGCAAAAATTTTGGAACTTACAAAGTAATCCAAATTTATAATAGATTTCCTCTTCTGTGGAATTGGCTGAAAGAACTGCTCCGGATGGCGTTGTTAGGTCATCAGTTATGTTTTTGTTGTATGTCCCAAGTAATCCTTCCGTTTTTATTTCGCTCATCTTATAACCGAGACTGACACTAAATTGTAATATAGATGCTTCCAGGGTTATCTCTATTACTGTCTCTGAAAGAAACGTTAAAACAAACACACCTTAAAAAATGCAACTTCACGTGATCATTTGAAAATTCGTTTTACTCGCCTGTAAAGAAATAAGAGTTTTCTGCATTTAATTTTCATGTCTCACTCCCCGTTGATGATATCTCAAATTAGCTTGAGAAACCAACTGTTTGTTAATTTTTATGTTTGTTTATTTTACGGTTTATCAACCCACTGGGTCATTTCTTACTAAAATTTAACCTTGTTTCCTAAATGATTTTTACTATAAATCGATATTATTCGTAATTTTAATATAAATATGTTGGTAATTTTATTATAAATTGGTATTTTTATAAATTCCTACTATTCTACTCTATTTTTTGATGGCCTAGAGGTTAGAACGTTCGCATTCTGGCCAAGAGACTCGGGTTCGAATCTCACCATGGCCGATTTATCAGGAAGGAGATTTCTTGATGTTATCGGACTCGAGGGATCGATCCCAGCATGCAGCACCTTTGGAAAGTGCCCGAAAACCATACCTTGGGTTAACCGAAGCCTTGTGATTGAAATTGGGTAGACGGAAACCTTGGGGGCCGTAGATAGCTGTGCTAGCACAAAGTCACAAATCGTGGCCCAGGGCTTGAGCGTGCTGGTGTTGTTCAAATTTTTGATCACGCTAGATAACACGCTCTTTCCCAGAAACTGTAACTAAGGTCTGCTCAGCATAGTTGCAGTATAAATCACAGGTGGGCTCTGTGGGTGTTAAATAAACACAAAATGCGCCTGAGCAAGCGACTGCATTACGGATTGGCTAACAGCCCTAGTAAGTGGGTATCCACGAATACGAGTGGCCAGCTATACTTTTTTTTATTTCTATTTAAGGGTTCGCTATTTTGCCCATAGCTAAGACCCTAACAGGTGCTATTAACCCGAGTCAGGGTTGATCTGGGAAGAACATACCCAGGACAAGATACAAATGTACTTACGGCTATTTTTATCCACACATAACAAACACATTTTAAAAGGATATTTATACATTACAAAAATATTATTAATAGGCATAAAATATTACAGACAAAATACTTGGCCCATTATATTTTCATTTAAGCAGCTTAGATTGTGTGTGTGTGTGTGTGTGTGTGTGTGTGTGTGAGATGGATAAGGGGAGCACCGAAAAGGAGAGATAGTAGACACTATGATAAAAAAATTACAAAGATAACTATTCCGAGTTCACCAATGGATTTAGTCAAGGTATAATCGCTACGACTATAGATACCAACGATGAAAATAGATTACGATTGAGACATTAAAATGCACTAAAGAACCCAGTGATAAATCCACTTTACCCCCTCTGACAAAGGAGGTGGCATTGTAATCATAAACAGGATTATATACTAATTACTTAACGATACAGACCCATACGAAAAAATAACCGAACAAAAAGAATAAATACTGAAACAGAAAAAATCAACAAAGAAATCAGGAAACTGATCAAAAATGAAAATAAATCGTGGTATAGACTCATTGAATATCACCCTAGAACAACAAAACTTTATGGTCTCCGTAAAAACTACAAACCTGGTATCCCTATGCGCCCTATTATTTCTGGAATAGGCAGCGCCCCGACCCTTACGAAATAGCTGGAGTCATAGCAAAAATATTAACCTCTCTCCTTGGAACACTGTCCATCACATATTAAAAAAAAATCCAGGAAAACTTGTTAAAAGCCTAAAGAAAATAAATATGACTGCCAAACTTACGGCCAGTTTAGACATAAAATCACTTTACACGGTTGAAAAATGATTGAATCTCTTAATAAAGCATCTAAGAAAAACAAAGATATACCTCTCCCTACCAACAGCTAAAATAATCTGCCGTCCCATCACCAATCAATTTTATTTCACATTTCATAACAATTTTTACAAACAAAAATATGAATTAACGATGGTATCCCCTCTCAGTGGAAGGATGGTATCTATTTTCTTGGAATTTCTCAAGACTACTTCTTTGCAAAACATTTTCCCTAAACAATCGCATTACTTCAGATAAATTGATAATAACCTATTAAGATATCCCCCCGTGATACTAACTTACCGGATCTTGTACGTAAATTAGGCAAAACAGAATACACAAATTCAGCACTTCTCATGCTAATTAGTAAAGTAGAAGAACAGACTGGGTCCTATCGGCTTGTTATAGAACCCAATCTGTTCTGTATGTCTCAATCTGTTTATAGAACCCAATCTGTTCTATAGAACCCAATCTGTTCTATATGTCTCAATCTGTTTATAGAACCCAATCTGTTCTATAGAACCCAATCTCTTCTATAGAACCCAATCTGTTTATAGAACCCAACCTGTACTATAGAACCAAATCTGTTTATAGAACTCAATCTGTTCTATAGGACCCAATCTGTTCTATAGGACCCAATCTGTTCCATAGGTCTCAATCTGTTTATAGAACCCAATCTGTTCTATAGGACCCAATCTGTTCTATAGAACCCAATCTGTTTATAGAACCCAACCTGTTTGTAGAACTCAGTCTGTTCTATAGGAACCAATCTGTTCTATATGTCTCAATCTGTTTATTGAACCCAATCTGTTCATAGAACCCAATCTGTTCTATAGAACCCAATCTGTTTATAGAACCCAATCTGTCCTATAGGTCTCAATCCGTTTATAGAACCCAATCTGTTTATAGAACCCAATCTGTCCTATAGGTCTGAATCTGTTTATAGAACCCAATCCGTTCTATAGAACCCAATCTGTTCTATAGGTCTCAATCTGTTTATAGAACCCAATCTATTCTATAGAACCCAATCTGTTCTATAGGTCTCAATCTGTTTATAGAACCCAATCTGTTCTATAGAACCCAATCTGTTCTATAGGCCTCAATCTGTTTATAGAACCCAATCTGTTCTATAGAACCTAATCTGTTCTATAGGGCCCAATCTGTTTATAGAACCCAATCTGTCCTATAGGTCTCAATCTGTTTATAGAACCCAATCTGTTCTATAGAACCCAATCTGTTTATAGAACCCAACCTGTTCTATAGAACCAAATCTTTTTATAGAACCCAATCTGTTCTATAGGACCCAATCTGTTCTATAGAAACCAATCTGTTTATAGAACCCAACCTGTTTGTAGAACTTAGTCTGTTCTATAGGGACCAATCTGTTCTATAGAATCAAATCTGTTTATAGAATTCAATCTGTTTATAGAACCCAATCCGTTATATAGAACCCAATCTGTTTATAGAACCAAATCTTTTTATAGAACTCAATCTGTTCTATAGGACCCAATCTGTTCTATATGTCTCAATCTGTTTATAGAACCCAATCTGTTCTATAGAACCCAATCTGTTTATAGAACCCAATCTGTCCTATAGGTCTCAATCTGTTTATAGAACCCAATCTGTCCTATAGGTCTCAATCTGTTTATAGAACCCAATCCGTTCGATAGAACCCAATCTGTTCTATAGGTCTCAATCTGTTTATAGAACCCAATCTGTTCTATAGAACCCAATCCGTTCTATAGAACCCAATCTATTCTATAGAACCCAATCTGTCCTATAGGTCTCAATCTGTTTATAGAACCCAATCTGTTCTATAGAACCCAATCTGTTCTATAGGCCTCAGTCTGTTTATAGAACCCAATCTGTTCTATAGAACCTAATCTGTTCTATAGGGCCCAATCTGTTTATAGAACCCAATCTGTCCTATAGGTCTCGATCTGTTTATAGAACCCAATCTGTTTATAGTCCCAATCTGTCCTATAGGTCTCAATCTGTTTATAGAACCCAATCTGTTCTATAGAACCCAATCTGTTCTATAGGTCTCAATATGTTTATAGAACCCAATCTGTTCTATAGAACCCAATCTGTTTATAGAACCCAACCTGTTTGTAGAACTCAGTCTGTTCTATGGGGACCAGTCTGTTTTATAGAATCAAATCTGTTTATAGAACTCAATCTGTTTATAGAACCCAATCTGTTCTATAGAACCCAATCTGTTTATAGAACCAAATCTTTTTATAGAACTCAATCTGTTCTATAGGACCCAATCTGTTCTATATGTCTCAATCTGTTTATAGAACCCAATCTGTTCATAGAAACCAATCTGTGCTATACAACCCAATCTGTTTATAGAACCCAATCTGTCCTATAGGTCTCAATCTGTTTATAGAACCCAATCTGTTTATAGAACCCAATCTGTCCTATAGGTCTCAATGTGTTTATAGAACCCAATCTGTTCTATAGAACCCAATCTGTCCTATAGGTCTCAATCTGTTTATATAACCCAATCCGTTCTATAGAACCCAATCTGTTCTATAGGTCTCAATCTGTTTATAGAACCCAATCTGTTCTATAGGTCTCAATCTGTTTATAGAACCCAATCCGTTCTATAGAACCCAATCTGTTCTATAGGTCTCAATCTGTTTATAGAACCCAATCTGTTCTATAGAACACAATCTGTTCTATAGGCCTCAATCTGTTTATAGAACCCAATCTGTTCTATAGAACCTAATCTGTTCTATAGGGCCCAATCTGTTTATAGAACCCAATCTGTCCTGTAGGTCTCAATCTGTTTATAGAACCCAATCTGTTCTATAGAACCCAATCTGTTCTATAGGTCTCAATCTGTTTATAGAACCCAATCTGTTCTATAGAACCCAATCTGTTCTATAGGTCTCAATCTGTTTATAGAACCCAATCTATTCTATAGAACCCAATCTGTTTATAGAACCCAAACTGTTCTATAGAACCAAATCTTTTTATAGAACCCAATCTGTTCTATAGGACCCAATCTGTTCTATAGAACTCAATCTGTTTATAGAACCCAACCTGTTTGTAGAACTCAGTCTGTTCTATAGGGACCAATCTGTTCTATAGAATCAAATCTGTTTATAGAACTCAATCTGTTTATAGAACCCAATCTGTTCTATAGAACCCAATCTGTTTATAGAACCAAATCTTTTTATAGAACTCAATCTGTTCTATAGGACGCAATCTGTTCTATAGGTCTCAATCTGTTTATAGAACCCAATCTATTCTATAGAACCCAATCTGTCCTATAGGTCTCAATCTGTTTATAGAAGCCAATCCGTTCTATAGAACCCAATCTGTTCTATAGGTCTCAATCTGTTTATAGAACCCAATCTATTCTATAGAACCCAATCTGTTCTATAGGTCTCAATCTGTTTATAGAACCCAATCCCTTCTATAGAACCCAATCTGTTCTATAGGTCTCAATCTGTTTATAGAACCCAATCCCTTCTATAGAACCCAATCTGTTCTATAGGTCTCAATCTGTTTATAGAACTCAATCTATTCTATAGAACCCAATCTGTTCTATAGGCCTCAATCTGTTTATAGAACCCAATCTGTTCTATAGAACCTAATCTGTTCTATAGGGCCCAATCTGTTTATAGAACCCAATCTGTCCTATAGGTCTCAATCTGTTTATAGAACCCAATCTGTTTATAGAACCCAATCTGTTCTATAGAACCCAATCTGTTCTATAGGTCTCAATCTGTTTATAGAACCCAATCTGTTCTATAGAACCCAATCTGTTCTATAGGTCTCAATCTGTTTATAGAACCCAATCTATTCTATAGAACCCAATCTGTTCTATAGGTCTCAATCTGTTTATAGAACCCAATCTGTTTATAGAACCAAATCTTTTTATAGAACCCAATCTGTTCTATAGGACCCAATCTGTTTATAGAACCCAATCTGTTCTATAGGACCCAATCTGTTTATAGAACCCAATCTGTTTATAGAACCCAACCTGTTTGTAGAACTCAGTCTGTTCTATAGGGACCAATCTGTTCTATAGAATCAAATCTGTTTATAGAACTCAATCTGTTTATAGAACCCAATCTGTTCTATAGAACCCAATCTGTTTATAGAACCAAATCTTTTTATAGAACTCAATCTGTTCTATAGGACCCAATCTCTTCTACAGGTCTCAATCTGTTTATAGAACCCAATCTATTCTATAGAACCCAATCTGTCCTATAGGTCTCAATCTGTTTATAGAACCCAATCCGTTCTATAGAACCCAATCTGTTCTATAGGTCTCAATCTGTTTATAGAACCCAATCTATTCTATAGAACCCAATCTGTTCTATAGGTCTCAATCTGTTTATAGAACCCAATCTTTTCTATAGAACCTAATCTGTTCTATAGGGCCCAATCTGTTCTATAGGGCCCAATCTACTGAAGGAAGTAAACATAGAGTATGCGTTATTTATATTCATCTCTGTTACATTGAATCGGTACTAAGAGCAGCGAATTACCAATTATTTAAAAGATACATAACATCAGGAAAAAAGAGGTGAAATTTCTTGATTACATACTGAGGAAAGACAGCTTGAAAAAGTTTATACTCAAGGAACACATTATTGACAAGTGATATAAGAAAATCAACACATAACCTATCTAGCGAACATGAGGAAATGCAAGCCGGAGTTTAGGGTTAGGAGAGTTAGCAAAAAGACAGCATTTATTAAGGGCTTCAGAAGACAGGAAATTGTGGAGAGGCATGATCAGCACGGTACAGAAGGTAGACGGCACGTAGAAGAAAGAAGAACTAATGCCTAATGGAAATTGGAAAGTAAGACTGTGTTGCACCAGCGTTCGAAATCTTGGTTTCTACCAGCGAGATGACACTTATTCGTTTAAAAACATTTAATTTAACAATAAGGAAAGAAGGCTTATAAAATTTGATACTCACAGGACGGACTGAAGGAAAAAAGTACAGAGGAAACCAACGCAAAAACATACCTAGCGGGTACAAGTAAATGGCTGGTGGCACAGTGCTTAGAAGAAATAACGAAAAGAGAAAATTTATCAAGCGCTACAAAGGAGAGGAAATTGTGGAGAGCCATGATCGCCTACGTTCTGAAGGGAAACGGCATATAGAAGGAGAATGAGCTTTACTAAATTGATGACAGAATAGTGTTTAGGAGAGATAACAAAACGCAAAAAACTATTACGAGCTACAAAGGAGAGGAAATTGTGGAGAGCCATGATCACCTAAATCCTGAAGGGTCAAGGCATATAGTCGAAGAAGAATGAGATTTAGTAAATCGATAACGTAATAGTGTTCAGGAGAGATAACAGAAAGACAAAATCTATTAACAGCTACAAAGGAGAGGAAATTGTGGAGAGCCATGATCGCCTACGTCCTGCAGGGATAGGGCACATAGATCGAAAAGAATGAGCTTGAGTAAATGGATAACGGAATAGTGTTTAAGAGAGATAATATAAAGAGAAAATTTATTAAGAGCTACATAAAATAAGAAATTGTGGAGAGCCATGATCGCCTACGGCTTTTGCTAGGATCCCTGTGAATATGTGGTATTGTGGTATATATCGGATTGAATGGTGATGCATGAATTCTTGTGGTGAATAAGTAAATTGTAATGGCCTAATGGGTCGTGATTTTAATTAGCTAGGTTTAGGATAGTGTAGACCAGCTTTACCCAACCTTAGTTTGGTCTTGTGCCACAACTGCTATCTATATAACAATAGATAATCATTTCTAGTTGGATTAAAACAATTGTATGAATCGTTTCGCAAATATCTCTGCTGTGTATGGATAAATTGGGCAAATGTCTTAGTATTAAATTAGTAACAGTATTTTTTTTAAAATAATGAATTTTCTATCCGGGTTATTACAAATCGATGTCCCATGAAAAATAGCGTTAATGTGCATTCGATTTTGTTTTAAAAATATCAATGTTTTTGTCTATATTTCTGAGATGAAGTATTATGTACACTATTTACATTATTCGGACTATCGTCCCCACCTTTGTTACCATAGTTGTCACAACATTTCGGCCTATATACGCTCCGGCCTTCTTCAGGTGGATGTAATGTCGATCTGAACCTTTTATTTCGCTCCTGAGCCGACCAAGCATAGAAATGAATACAATATGGGAACCAGTAATAAGGGGTGACAAAGAAACCAATAATAAGCAATATGAGTTCTGGTAAAAAAAAAAAAAATAAATGCAATGACAACAGCAAAAATTGTATATTAGCACTGGTAAAAATGTTGCTGAAGACATTATGTTTATAAGTCGCACAAATTCATGCACAGGTGTCCTCAAAGACTCATGGCACAGTGGATAAAGTCGTTGGTTAGATCCAGTTGACAGGACTCAAAGAGCTGTGAGTTCGGTACCTGGTTAAGATAGTGGAGAACTTGGAGAGGGGAATTAACAGGAGATAACTGACATCCATTAGACGTGGAACTAAAACAATCTACCCCAGCGAGCGAAATAAAGGGTTCAGTTCGACATTCCAACAACTTGAAGGAGGCCGGAGCGTACATCGACCGAAACGTCGTGATAAATACGGCAGCAAAGATGAGGACAATGGTCCGAATAATGTGAACAATGTTTTTTTGTTTTTTTTTAATAATGTTATAATCTACTTCTTAAAACACGATTGCCTTGCGTGAGACGTAATCTTGGGACAACACAATAAGAATTATAATCAATTTATAAAGATATAACAGCCACATTTGCTAAAGGATTTTCGTACGTGTGAAAGCATTGATCATTAAATATAACCTGAAACAAAATTTAAAAATTTAAGTCAATCGCCAATGCGTGGAAGAGGATTGCAAAATAGTTACAGACAAGATGGCTTCGTGAGTTATGTAGCAAAATATAATATTAATAACTGAGATCAGAGAAATCTACTGTAAAACAACCCCACATGTGATACATATTTAGAAAGGACTGGGTCAAGCAAATCAGCTGGGGAATTCGTTAAATTTGAAATCATTTATAACAATGTTCGTTAAACTCAAAATTGACTGTATTAATATAAGCGGATAATAATTCAACAGGAAGACAAATAAAGCAAAACAACTCACGAGAATCATGCTGGATTATGTAGGAATTATTTCGTTGACTATTTACGGATAAACGAAAAGGCCGCTTGTACCAGGTATACTTGCTGTTTGAGTAAAATGATGTCAGCTCAAGATTGTCTCCAAAAATTTTCACGGCTAATAAAAAAAGAGGAAACAATTAAAAATAATCTGCTTTTTGTATAGTTAAACAAGTTTTTCTTAAATTCTGAAATCAAATATTATAATTTAATTTATAATTTAAGTTTAAAGTATGGTCAGAAAAATTAGAACACGGTTTGAAAAGTTCATAGGCTGACTATGAAGTAATGATGCTAGAGCAGTGAAATCTTGCATGCTTTGATTTCAACTCTTCTTATTAATAACTGCATTGTTTCTTATCAGGTACGAGGGTGGGCTGAAAAGTTCATAGGCTGACTATGAAGGAATGATGCTAGAGCAGTGAAATCTTGCATGCTTTGATTTCAACTCTTCTTATTAATAACTGCATTGTTTCTTATCAGGTACGAGGGTGGGCTGAAAAGTTCATAGGCTGACTATGAAGGAATGATGCTAGAGCAGTGAAATCTTGCATGCTTTGATTTCAACTCTTCTTATTAATAACTGCATTGTTTCTTATCAGGTACGAGGGTGGGCTGAAAAGTTCATAGGCTGACTATGAAGGAATGATGCTAGAGCAGTGAAATCTTGCATGCTTTGATTTCAACTCTTCTTATTAATAACTGCATTGTTTCTTATCAGGTACGAGGGTGGGCTGAAAAGTTCATAGGCTGACTATGAAGGAATGATGCTAGAGCTGTGAAATCTTGCATGCTTTGATTTCAACTCTTCTTATTAATAACTGCATTGTTTTTATTATCAGGTACGAGCTTTGAAAAGTTCATAGGCTGACTATGAAGGAATGATGCAGCAGTGAAATCTTGCATGCTTTGATTTCAACTCTTCTTATTAATAACTGCATTGTTTCTTATCAGGTACGAGGGTGGGCTGAAAAGTTCATAGGCTGACTATGAAGGAATGATGCTAGAGCAGTGAAATCTTGCATGCTTTGATTTCAACTCTTCTTATTAATAACTGCATTGTTTCTTATCAGGTACGAGGGTGGGGAAAAGTTCATAGGCTGACTATGAAAATGATGCTTCAGCTGTGAAATCTTGCAGATTTCAACTCTTCTTATTAATAACTGCATTGTTTCTTATCAGGTACGAGGAATGATGCTAGGCTGACAGGTGAAATGATGCTAGAGCAGTGAAATCTTGCATGCTTTGATTTCAACTCTTCTTATTAATAACTGCATTGTTTCTTATCAGGTACGAGGGTGGGCTGAAAAGTTCATAGGCTGACTATGAAGGAATGATGCTAGAGCAGTGAAATCTTGCATGCTTTGATTTCAACTCTTCTTATTAATAACTGCATTGTTTCTTATCAGGTACGAGGTGGGCTGAAAAAGTTCATAGGCTGACTATGAAGGAATGATGCTAGAGCAGTGAAATCTTGCATGCTTTGATTTCAACTCTTCTTATTAATAACTGCATTGTTTCTTATCAGGTACGAGGATGGGCTGAAAAGTTCATAGGCTGACTATGAAGGAATGATGCTAGAGCAGTGAAATCTTGCATGCTTTGATTTCAACTCTTCTTATTAATAACTGCATTGTTTCTTATCAGGTACGAGGGTGGGCTGAAAAGTTCATAGGCTGACTATGAAGGAATGATGCTAGAGCAGTGAAATCTTGCATGCTTTGATTTCAACTCTTCTTATTAATAACTGCATTGTTTCTTATCAGGTACGAGGGTGGGCTGAAAAGTTCATAGGCTGACTATGAAGGAATGATGCTAGAGCAATGAAATCTTGCATGCTTTGATTTCAACTCTTCTTATTAATAACTGCATTGTTTCTTATCAGGTACGATGGGCTGAAAAAGTTCATAGGCTGACTATGAAGGAATGATGCTAGAGCAGTGAAATCTTGCATGCTTTGATTTCAACTCTTCTTATTAATAACTGCATTGTTTCTTATCAGGTACGATGGGCTGAAAAAGTTCATAGGCTGACTATGAAGGAATGATGCTAGAGCAGTAAAATCTTGCATGCTTTGATTTCAACTCTTCTTATTAATAACTGCATTGTTTCTTATCAGGTACGAGGTGGGCTGAAAAGTTCATAGGCTGACTATGAAGGAATGATGCTAGAGCAGTGAAATCTTGCATGTATTTGATTTCAACTCTTCTTTAATAACTGCAATTGTTTGTTTCTTATCAGGTACGAGGGTGGGCTGAAAAGTTTATAGGCTGACTATGAAGGAATGATGCTTATCTGTGAAATCTTGCATGCTTTGATTTCAACTCTTCTTATTAATAACTGCATTGTTTCTTATCAGGTACGAGGGTGGGCTGAAAAGTTCATAGGCTGACTATGAAGGAATGATGCTAGAGCTGTGAAATCTTGCATGCTTTGATTTCAACTCTTCTTATTAATAACTGCATTGTTTCTTATCAGGTACGAGGGTGGGCTGAAAAGTTCATAGGCTGACTATGAAGGAATGATGCTAGAGCTGTGAAGGATGCATGCTTTGATTTCAACTCTTCTTATTAATAACTGCATTGTTTCTTATCAGGTACGAGGGTGGGCTGAAAAGTTCATAGGCTGACTATGAAGGAATGATGCTAGAGCTGTGAAATCGTGCATGCTTTGATTTCAACTCTTCTTATTAATAACTGCATTGTTTCTTATCAGGTACGAGGGTGGGCTGAAAAAGTTCATAGGCTGACTATGAAATGGAATAGAGATGAAATCTTGAAGCTGATGAAATAATAACTGCATTGTTGCATACGAGGGTGGGCTGAAAAGTTCATAGGCTGACTATGAAGGAATGATTTGCTTTGATTTCAACTCTTCTTATTAATAACTGCATTGTTTCTTATCAGGTACGAGGGTGGGCTGAAAAGTTCATAGGCTGACTATGAAGGAATGATGCTAGATCAGGTGCTGAACCTTTGATTTCAACTCTTCTTATTAATAACTGCATTGTTTCTTATCAGGTACGAGGGTGGGCTGAAAAGTTCATAGGCTGACTATGAAGAATGATGCTAAACCTAGTTGTGAAATCTTGCATGCTTTGATTTCAACCTTCTTATTAATAACTGCATTGTTTCTTATCAGGTACGAGGGTGGGCTGAAAAGTTCATAGGCTGACTATGAAGGAATGATGCTAGAGCTGTGAAATCTGCATGCTTTGATTTCAACTCTTCTTATTAATAACTGCATTGTTTCTTATCAGGTACGAGGGTGGGCTGAAAAGTTCATAGGCTGACTATGAAGGAATGAAATCTTGCATGCTTTGATTTCAACTGAATTAATAACTCATTGTTTCTTATGGTTTGATTGAATTGTTTCTTATCTGACTAATGAAGGAATGATGCTATCAACAGTGAAATCAATTGTCTTCTTATCAGAACATTGTTTCTTATCAGGTACGAGGGTGGGCTGAAAAGTTGTATTGCTGACTATGAAGGAAGATCATGAAAATCTTGCATGCTTTGATTTCAAGGAATGATTGTTTCTTATCAGGTACGAGGGTGGGCTGAACCTATAGGCTGACTATGAAATGATGCTAGAGCTGTGAAATTGCATGCTTTTTTCAACGATCTTCCTAGTTTATTAATAACTGCATTGTTTCTTATCAGGGTACTGAAAAGTTTCATAGGCTGACTATGAAGGAATTGGAACTTTGATTTCAACAGCCTTCCCAAAAATTGTTTCTTATCAGGCTGATCACTGAAAGGAATGATATGAAGGAATGTTGCTAGAGCTGTGAAATCTTGCATGCTTTTGATTTTGATTTGAACATAGTTTCTTATCAATAAGTTGCATTGTTTCTTATCAGGTAGAGGTGGGCTGAAAAGTTCATAGGCTTATTAATAGTTGTATTGTTTCTTAAGGAATGATGCTAGCTGTGAAATCGTGCATGCTTTGATTTCAAATCTTCTTATTATCAGGTAACTGCATTGTTTCTTATCAGGTGATGGGCTGAAAACCTAGGCTGACTATGAAGGAATGAACCCAAGTTGCATTGTTTCTTATCAGGTAGATAACTGAATTGTTTCTTATCAACGGCGAAAAGTTGAAAATTCATAGGCTGACTATGAAGGAATGATCTAGACTGAAACCGTGCATGCTTTCATTTCAGCTTCAACCCAAGTTGTATTGTTTCTTATCAGGTAGATCACTGAAAAGTTCATAGGCTGACTATGAAGGAATGATGCTAGAGCTGTGAAATCAAGTTGTATTGCTTTGATTTTATCAGGTAGATCACTGCAACCTTCTTATCAACGAGGGTGGGCTGAAAAGTTCATAGGCTGACTATGAAGGAATGATCAGGTGTGCATTGTTTCTTATCAGGTATTGTTTCTTATCAGGTAGATCACTGAACCTGTTAAAAGTTCAAGTTGTATTGTTTCTATGAAGGAATGAACCTAGTTATCTGTGAAAGTTGTATTGTTTCTTTTAGATCACTGAACCTAGTTTCTTATTAATAAGTTGCATTGTTTCTTATCAGGTAGATCACTGAAGGGTTATCTGCCAAAAGTTCATAGGCTGACTATGAGGAATGATGACTGAACCTAGATATCAACGGCCAACCCAAGTTGTATTGTTTCTTATCAGGTAGATCACTGAACCTAGTTATCAACGGCCAACCCAAGTTGTATTGTTTCTTATCAGGTAGATCACTGAACCTAGTTATCAAAGCCAACCCAAGTTGTATTGTTTCTTATCAGGTAGGAATCATGAACCTAGTTATCATTTCAACTCTTCAACCCAAGTTGTATTGTTTCTTATCAGGTAGATCACTGAACCTAGTTATCAACGGCCAACCCTTCTTATCAGGTTGATCATTGTTTCAACAGCCAACCCAAGTTTATTGTTTCTTATCAGGTAGATCACTGAACCTAGTTATCATAGGCCAACTATGTTGTATTGTTTCTTATCAGGAAATCACTGAATGCTTTATTTATCACTCGGCCAATAAGTTGCATTGTTTCTTATCAGGTAGAGGGTGGCTGAAAAGTTCATTGATTTCTTATCAGGTAGACATCTCTTCTGAACCTGCATTGTTTATGACGCTGCCAACCCAAGTTG